CTGGCTGTGGGGGTGGGGTTGGATCTGTGACATCTCAGGCCCTGACATTCCTCCTCCTGGGAATCTGTCTAAAGTGGTGTTTCCACTCACTGTCTCCAATTCCTTTTTTTTCCATTTTCACATTTAGTTTTTTGGGGGGTTGGGACAGGGAGAATGGAGAGGCTCTAGAGGAGATGAATTATGGATCCACCCTCCCGGAATCCTGGCCCGGCCCTCCCCAAGCCACCCGAGGCCAGTCCGGTCTGCTTCCAGCCTGAGGAGGCCGCATGTCCAGCCGCAGGCAGGAGACTGAGCAGGTCCCCGTGTCTCCAAGTCCCTGAGCCCGTGACATCGGCCCCAGGCCCGGCAGGGAGCAGGCAGCCACCATGGCGAAGGAGGAAGACGAGGAGAAGAAAGCCAAGAAAGGGAAAAGGGGGAAGAAGGCGCCAGAGCCGGAGAAGCCCAAACGGAGCCTGAAGGGGACGTCGCGGCTGTTCATGGGCTTCCGCGACCGCACATCCAAGATCTCCAAGAAGGGCCAGTTCCGCAGCGCCTCGGCCTTTTTCTGGGGCCTCCACACCGGCCCCCAGAAGACCAAGCGCAAGAAGAAGGCCCGCACCGTGCTCAAGTCCACGTCGAAGCTCATGACGCAGATGCGCATGGGCAAGAAGAAGCGGGCAATGAAGGGCAAGAAGCCGTCCTTCATGGTGATCCGCTTCCCCGGCCGCCGTGGCTACGGCCGCCTGCGGCCTCGCGCCCGGTCCCTCAGCAAGGCGTCCACCGCCATCAACTGGCTCACCAAGAAGTTCCTCCTCAAGAAGGCCGAGGAGTCGGGCAGCGAGCCAGCCACGGTGGACGCCTGGCTGCAGCGCTCGGGCTCCCGCGTGGGCTCCCGCAAGCTGCCCTTCCCGTCGGGTGCCGAGATCCTGCGGCCCGGGGGCCGGCTCCGGAGGTTCCCCCGCAGCCGCAGCATCTACGCGTCGGGCGAGCCCCCTGGGCTTCCTGCCCTTCGAGGACGAGGCCCCGTTCCATCACTCCGACTCCCGCAAGTCGCTGTATGGGCTCGAGGGCTTCCAGGACCTGGGCGAGTACTATGACTACCACCGCGACGGCGACGACGACTACGACCGGCAGTCGCTCCACCGCTACCAGGAGCAGGAGCCCTACGTGGCGGGCCTCGGCCCCTACAGCCCGGCCTGGCCGCCCTACGGTGACCGCTACTAGTGGGTACCCGCCCGAGGACCCCTACGACTACTACCCCCCGGACTATTACGGTGGCCCCTTTGATCCGGGGTACACCTATGGCTACGGCTACGACGACTACGAACCCCCGTACGCGCCTCCGTCGGGGTACTGGTCTCCTTACAGCCACCACGATGCGTACGACGGCGAGGCGCACCCACACGGCTGCTACCTGGACCCCTACGCGCCCTACGACGCGCCATACCCGCCCTATGACCTGCCGTACCACCTTGGCTACGACGTGCCCTACCTGGATCCCTACGGGGTCCCCTACACCGTCCCCTATGCCGAAGCTGTCTATGGCGGTGGGGACGAGGCCATCTACCCCCCCGAGGTGCCCTATTTTTACCCGGAGGAGTCGGCCTCGGCCCTCGTGTACCCCTGGGTACCGCCGCCCGTCCCGTCGCCCCACAATCCGTACGCCCCCCCCATGGATGACATCGCCGAGCTGGAGGAGCCCGAGGACGCGGGCGGGGAGCGTCCGGGCACCTCCTTCCGCCTGCCCAGCGCCGCCTTCTTCGAGCAGCAGGGCATGGACAAGCCCGCCAGGTCCAAGCTGTCCCTCGTCCGCAAGTTCCGCCTCTTCCCGCGGCCCCAGGTGAAGCTGTTCGGGAAGGAGAAGCTGGAGGTGCCCCTGCCACCCTCTCTGGACATTCCGCTGCCCTTGGGAGATGCGGACGACGAGGAGGATGAGGAAGAGCTGCCCCCGGTGCCCGCCGTGCCCTATGGCCACCCTTTCTGGGGCTTCCTCACGCCGCGCCAGCGCAACCTCCAGCGGGCGCTGTCGGCCTTCGGTGCCCACCGAGGCCTGGGCTTCGGCCCGGAGTTCGGCCGCCCCGCGCCTCGGCCGGCCACCTCGCTGGCGCGGTTCCTCAAGAAGACGCTGTCGGAGAAGAAGCCCATCCCGCGGCTCAGGGGCAGCCAGAAGGCCCGGGCGGGCGGCCCCGCGGTCAGGGAGGCGGCCTACAAACGCTTCGGCTACAAGCTGGCCGGCATGGACCCGGAGCGGCCCGGCACGCCTGTCGTGCTGAGAAGAGCCCAGCCGCGCGCGGGCAGCAGCAACGACGCGCGCCGCCCGCCCGCGCCCGCGCCCGCGCCCGCGCCCTCGTCAAGGCCCCTCTCCCACTGGAGCGCGCTCCTCGCCCCGCGCGCGCCCCCGCGGCCCCGCAGTCCCGGGCCCCCGCCCGCGCCGCCCCTCTCCGCGGCGCTCTCGGGCCTGCCCCGGCCGGCCTCGCCCTACGCCTCCCTCCGCCGCCACCCGCCGCCCTGGGCCGCCCCAGCGCTTGTGCCCCCGGCGCCGCAGGCCAGCTGGTGGGCGTTCCTGGAGCCCCCTGCCGTGAGCCCGGAGGTGCCCCCGGACCTACTGGCCTTCGCCGGGCCCCGACCCTCGTTCCGGAGCTCCCACCGGCGAGGGGCGGCCTTCGGCTTCCCGTCCACACGGGCGTCGCGGAGGCAGGCCTGGTCCCCGCTGGCCTCGCCCCGGCCCTCGCTGAGGAGCCTGCCGGGCCCCGGCTACCGCTCGCCCCTGGCGCCTCCGTCGCCTCAGCTGTCCGTGCGCGCGGGTCCCTACCAGCCGCCCTTCCCGTCCCGGGCCCGCCGGCCCCACTCGCTGCGGGAGCCCCCAGCCCCACGCCGAGCCTCCGGGCGCCCGGGCCCACCCGGCTCGCCCAGGCCGCCCTCACCGCCCCTGGTGCGCGGCCACAGCCAGCGGCGCCGCTCCCTCAACCTGCCCTCGCGCCTCCCGCACACATGGCGGCGCCTGAGCGAGCCGCCCACTCGAGCTGTGAAGCCGCGAGTGCGCCCGGCCTTCCACCAGCCGCCCGGGGCCTGGGCCTGGCGGGCGCCCCTGGAGCATCGGGAGAGCCCGGGAGAACCTGAGGACTCAGAGACGCCCTGGACCGTGCCCCCGCTGGCCCCCAGCTGGGACGTGGACATGCCTACCACCCAACGCCCACCATCCCCCTGGCCAGGAGGTGCAGGCAGCCGCCGAGGCTTTTCCAGACCACCCCCTGTGCTGGAAAACCCCTTTCTCCAGCACGTGGGACCTGTGCCATCCCCCACTCTCCAGCCCAAGGACTCAGCTGCTGATATGACCAGGGTCTTCCTGGGCAGACATTATGACCCAGGGCCTGGACAGCTCACCAGATCGGCTGGCCCAAGCCCTGAGAAGCCTGAAGAAGAGACCACCCTGGGGGACCCCCAGCTGCCAGCAGAGACCAAGCCTCCAAGCCCAACACCTCCCAAGGATGTCAGACCTCCCAAGGAAGTCCTCCCAAAGCAAAAGACACTAAGGCCCAGCCTCTCATACCCACTGACTGAATGTGACCAGACCAGGGCCACATGGCCATAATGGCACCGCTGGGGGACACTGCCCCAAGCCCCAGGCCCCTTGGTGCCCACCAGGGCCCCAGAGCCCCTGCTCAAGGTGGGCGAGCAGCGCCAGGCAGGCCCTGGGCGTTTTGCTGTGGTCATGCCTCGCGTGCAGAAGCTGAGCTCTTTCCAGCGAGTTGGGCCTGCAACCCTGAAGCCTCAAGTCCAGCCAACCCAAGGACCCCGAGCCAAGACCCTGGAGTCTTCGCTGGTCCTGCCTCTGGCTGCGGGCAGAGGCCCACGGAACCTGGCCACGAGTACCCACCCACCGCCAGTCCTGCCACCTGGGCCCTGGAGCCACCTGCCTGTCCCTTAGCAGGTCCTGGGAGGAGGTCGGCCCCCCAAGCTGGCAGAACAAGGTATGGGGGCACAGATTACAGGGAGGGTTTGCGAGTTCTGGCCTAGGAAACAGGGAAAGAAAAACAGCCTGAGGAGCCCTGTGCAGCAACCTTGGAGAGCTGCTGCCTGCAGGGGCCTCAGTCTCTGGGTCTAGAAGTTGGGGAGAACAGCCAGGGCCTGCCAAACCTCTGGAGGATTGAACAAGGGGATGCCCAGCACAGGCAGGCACAGGACAGAGACGTGGGAAACTGCTTCCAAGTCACTCTGGGGAAGGATCTTTGTTCATCTGTAGGCCCTGGGCAGCCCTGCCCTGATCCAACCTGGATGACAAGTCCGGCCCCTAACTCCTCCTCAGAGATTTTGGCCAAACCAGATGTGAAACTGCAGGACATGCCTATCCGTCCTGTCCCACTGCACACCCAGGTCTGTGCTGTTCCTCCTGCCTCCTACTGACCTTCCCCCAAATTAGAGCCTCCTCTTTCCTCAGAGTTTTTGCTGCCCTTTGAAGTCCTCTGGGCTGCAGGATTCTGGAATTGGTCAGGGTGAGGGGCTCAGGGTCCAACCTTCCAGTCTCCTCATTGCCAGAGAGAAAACTGAGCCAGGAGTCCTTCTGGAACCCCAAGTCAGGTGCAGGGCAGGCAACCCGTTCTGAGGGGTGCCCACGCCTGGCTGCCACACTCAAGGCAGAACTCGAGCCTGATGCTGGGTGGCCTTTGGCGGAGGTGCACGGTCGCTGGAGCCTCTCCCGGGACGCAGGGGGGTGGGCGGGGCAAGCAGGGGCAGCAGGTGCTCCTCAGCCTCTGCAGATGGTACCCGGTGGAAGGGGCAGCCAGCAGGGCTCAACAATGGCAACTGGGGCAGCCTGGCTGCTGGGGGGACCCCGGCCCTGGCGGCGGGTACCCCGCGCCGTGTGGGCTGCAGCATTGTGGGAGCGGGGCGCAGGGCGCCTAGGGGTGAGGGGCAAGGATGCCTGGGCCCTCCTCACCCTAGAATACGTGAGTGGCTGAATTATTCAGGGTCTGTGGCTGCTGGCGAGCACGTGGGCAGACAGGTGGGCCAGAGGCCAGGGCCGAAAGGGTGATTGATACTCGCTGTGCCCTACTTAGCAGCCCAGCAATAGGCATGCAGGGCTCCCTCGTGGTGTCCTCTTTCCTCGCCTGCTCAGGGGGCAGCTGGGATTGGAAAGTCTGAGGGTGCACACATGTGTGCTTCGCAGTCATGTGGATCCGGTGCAGGCCTGCGTGTCCGAGTGTGTGTGTGTGAGTGTGTACCACAGCCAAATGACGAAAGCAAGTGTATGAGATCTGGGCAGATGTGGCACCCTGGGGGGTCAGGGTTGTTTGCCCACCCTCTGCCAATGTGCAGACATGTGCTCACAGAGGAGACCCTGCAAGCCCAAAGCTGGCATCAGGACTTCCATTCTCCAGACCTCCAGGGTCGGGGAGGGGACCCAGCCTGTCCACCCAGATGGACAGGTAGGGCATGTGCCTGCCAAGTGGACAGGTAGAGTATGTGCCTACACACCATGTGCCCCCGGACGGGCCCCACAGGCCTACATGCATGCCCACAGGCCTACAAGAACATCCTGTGTGTCTAGGAGTTGTATGAACTAGGAAATGCCATTGAGTGTGAGTCCATATGCAGGTGTCCACACATTTTCTCCGGAATGAGCATGGGGGTGTGGTGCTGAGACAGTCTCCATCTCTGCCCTCCTGGAGTCCCCATGCACCAGGAGACAAGTGTCCATCAAGTTGTCACATAAGCCAACACGTGGGGTCTGCTGGTGCTGGGAGAGCTGCGGTTGTTAGGGAGCTGGCAGGTGTACCCATGTACCTGCACATACCTTTGCTCACCCTCCAGGGCAGGACGCCTGGGAGCTCATGGGAGCGTCTGCTTGGGCACTGAGGGCATGCATGTGTCTCATGTATGAGGGTCGCATGCAGGTTCCAGGGGCCACAGCATTCTGTAGCAAGGATACACCTGCAGGACTCACCTGACCTTGGGGATCCCTCCCAAACAATGGTAGCGGGCCCCAGGTATGACCGAGCCAGGGAACAATTGGAGTGGGGGCTGTCCTGCAACCTACAGACACAGCCTCTCTCTCACACAGATGCACTCCATCTGCAACCTGCCATCCATGCGGTTCCGCGAGCAGCACAGGGAGGATGGTGTCGAGGACATGACGCAGCTGGAGTGAGTGGGCAGGGCCGGCAGGGTCAGCAAGAGGTCACCATGGGGTCCCCACCCTACCAGCCAGAGCAGCTCCTCCTACACCTGCCTCTCACCTCCCAGGACATTTTCAGAGCCTCAGTCATGAAGTGTCACAAAGACTAAAAGTGGTGTGCCTTGTGAGTTAGATGGGCTTTGGTTCAAATCCCAGCCCCACCACCCACCAGCTGGTGGACCTTGGAGAAATCGCTTTGCTTCTCTGCACCTCAGTTTCTCATCCACAAGGTGGGAATGGGGTGGCTGCTGTGAGGATGCTGGCACATTGGAGGTACTCAAAACATGAGGGTGTGTAGGTCAGCATCATTATCCAATCACGCTGACTATGTGTGTCCCTCAACCCCCCAGTGGAGTATCATACCCGTTGATTATGATACCCATTGGACAGATGAAGAATTGATTATCACACCCGTTGGACAGATGAAGAAATGATTATCGCACCCGTTGGACAGATGAAGAATTGATTATCACACCCGTTGGACAGATGAAGAAACAGGCACAGCGAGGTGAAGTAATTTGCCCAAGGTCTCCTGGCTGGTTGGTGTCAGAAACAGGACTTGAACTCAGGCCTATCTGATCACGGCACTGCACTGAGTCGGGGAGGCAGACCCATGCCAGAGCCAGCCCCGGAGGCGCTGACAGTTTCTCTCTGTGCCCTTCCAGAGACCCCCAGGAAACCACTGTGCTGTCCAACCTCAAGATTAGATTTGAACAGAACCTCATCTACGTAAGGCCTGGGGCTCCCCTGCCCTGGGCCTGGGTCAGGAAGGCAGCTGCCTCCTGGGGCCAGGTGGGATGCACAGATTTCTCTTTGGGCCCTAGCCCCTGGGGCCTCTGGTTTGAACTCTGAGCTTTCTCAATTCAGCATAGAATGTCAGAGCCTGGAACTAAAATCTGAAGTCTTAAAACACAGTCTTAGAATGGTGGATGCCAGAGGCAGAAAGCTGGAGACAGGGAATCCAGAAATATGTGACACCTCCACCACCTGGGACCTGACAGATAGAACTTCCAGAGTCCTAGAATCCATAGACCTGGACCCCAGAGTGGGGACAGCCAGAGGGGTAGAAAGGAGCCTCTGACCTGAGAATGACAGAACAGAGGCCCACAGCCACAGTGTGGAAGACAGGGACACTCGGAAGGGCTCTGGCCACAGAAAGATTCCCTCAGCCCTGCTACTGCCCACTCCAGGTAGTAGAAGTTTGCTCTCAACAGGAAGCAAAAGTTCCTGGAGCTGGACCCAACTGTGAACAAATGAAGTAGGCAGGAGCCCACCGAGGATCATGGCTGTGGGGTTTTGCTCACCCCAGACTCCTCCCAGCTCAGCCTGGCGCAGTGCCTGAGATTCCACTGTTAGAGCACATAGCCCAGCAAGCTGGTAGAGGGCTCTAGATGGCAATCCCAAGTCCAGGTAGCCAGATATCTGTCCGGATGGAAACAGGGAGCCAGTCTCCCAGCGTAGGGGAGGGAGGGACACAGAGGGCTGCGAGGAGCCATGGCGCTGAGGCCACCATCTGCCCAGCAGACATACGTCGGGAGCATCCTGGTATCAGTGAACCCATACCAAATGTTCGGAATCTATGGGCAAGAGCAGGTGCAGCAGTACAACGGGCGGGCCCTGGGAGAGAATCCCCCGTGAGTGTCTCAGGGGGACCTGCCCTAGGGTCTCTTGGGCCCCTCTTTCCCCTGCTCTGGGATCCTGGATCTTGGCTGCATCTCAGCCATGAGTCAGAGGTAATGGGGAAAGGCAGCCCACCTACTCAACCTGACAGTCTCTCCCCAGGCGGGGCCACAGCCACGGGTTGGAGGCCACTGTGGTTCAGACCTGGATTGGGGTGGGAGCATTCCCTCAACAGGGTGAGGGGTGGGCAGGATTGGCTATTTGGCTGGATACAGATGTTACCTGCCCAACCCCTGGGAGGTTTGGGAGCTTAGAGGCAGGGGCTGGCTCTAATCACCTGTTTCCCAGGCACCTTTTTGCGATTGCAAATCTCGCCTTCGCCAAAATGCTCGATGCCAAACAGAACCAGTGCATAATCATCAGGTGAGCGGGCTGTCTTTACATGGGGGATAAACTGGGAGACTTCAGGTAACAGGCCTGAATCTGGCCAGAACTGCTGTGGGACCTCGGAAGATTGCCTGGCACCTCTGGGCTAGCCGACCACACACATCCTCTTGCTTCATGGTGGGGGTTGGGGTGTCCCAGAAGTAGTGAAAGGTTAGAGCTCACTCTGCCCCTTTGCTCGGTCAGTGGAGAGAGCGGCTCTGGCAAAACCTGAGGCCACCAAGCTGATTCTGCGCTACCTGGCCGCCATGAACCAGAAACGGGATGTCATGCAGCAGGTGAGTCCACCTGTCTCCCCAGGACCCTAGGCTGAGTACCCTTTGATAAGCACACCTCATGTGCTCCCCAGGAGGCAAGGCTCCTTGGACCAGTAGGAAGATGGGAAGGCTGAGTTTCAGAAGGGGGTCTTGCCCAGGACTGCTCTTTCTGCCACCCATCCCAGGGGTGTGCCTGAGGGGTGAGAGTTTCTGCCTGCCTGTGTTTCCATGGCAGCTCCTGGTTCCAGCCCTCTGGGGCCACTTCAGAGGGGAGATCACATAGGGAAAGGGGTGTCGTCCCGTCTCTCTCACCTGGCCTCACCTTCCTGGTCATGGCTCTTCGGGCCACCATATTCTCACACTCAGAAGCCATGCAGCCCCCAGGAGTGAAGAGGCAGGTGGGTTAGGGGTGGGGTGGGGGAGGCAGTAGATGCCAGGCCAGAGTCTGCAGGATTAGAGCTTTGCTGAAAAGGATGGTGCTAAGCCTCTGAGCCTGAGAATGGTAGAACCCCATCCATTCCCTCAATAAAGATTTACTGAGGACCTACTGTGTGCCAAGCCCAGGCTAGGCATCCGGGAGGGGCAGCAGCAACTCAGGCAAATGTTCACACCCTCGTGGGAACTTCATTCTAGTGATGGAAGCGGGACTGACAAATACATATACACTTATATAAGTAAATTATGTGTACGTGAAAGGGTAGGTGGTGAGCTGTGAAGGAAAAAAGTGGAGGAAAGGATGGGGAGTGTTGGGGGTCATAGTCACTAAGTGTAGTGGTCAGGGTAGGCTGTACTGAAAAGGCAAGGGACTGGGCTCTGGGAATGTCTAGGGGAACAATGAAGAGGCAGAGGGAGGAGCACCTGCAAAGGCCCTGAGGTACAAGCAGGTTGGGTCCAGGTGCAGGTGCAAGCAGGTCAAAGCCAGCCAGCAACATACAGAAGACAGACTGGGATGTGAGAAAGAACTGTTGGAGGCGACCCCAGACACTCGGCCTGAGCCACAGGCAGCACAGAGGCAGGCTGGGCAGTGGAGAGGGGGAGCAGGTTTGTTGAGAAGAGGTGCCTGCTAGGCATCTGCCCAGAGATGGCAGGGAGGTGATGGATGTACCACCAGCCTGGAGCTCAGGAAAAGGTGGGGCTGGCCTGCCAGCTCAGACTCCAGAACCACAGACTCAAGACTTCCCCGACCCTGGGGTCCACAAAGGTTTGCACATGGCCACAATGTCCCAGCCAGTGGGGAGCCCAGCAGGGTGATCCTGGGGACATTGGTGGGGGCTGCGCAGGCTTTGCCGTCAGGTTCCAGCCTGGCCTGGCCCGCTCTGGTGCCTGCCTTGGCCTGTCAGCCTCTCCCATCCCAGCCCAGGCCGCCTGATAACCAATCAGATCATCCCTTGCTCCAAGCAGAGTTTTCAAAACCTTTCAGGTCAGACTTTTGAAATGACTGGTTAGGTAGGCAGGGAAAGAAATGAGTGTGCCCTTTGCACCTCCTGTGGCCAGGCACAGTGCTGGGTTCCTTCAGTTATTGTCACACCAAAGCTTTAGAGCAACTCTGGGAGGTAGGTACATGTGCATCCATTTATAGATGGAGCACTGAGGCCTAAGGGAGGAGCAAGGTGGTGCAGGAGCTGCGATTTGCAGTCCATGGCAGAGAGTGTCAGGGAGGATGGATGGAGCTGTGGATATGGCTGAGTCTGGGCGTTCTGTGTGCCAGGCACACAGAGGTGTGAGGATATGCCTGCCAGCTGTGATGCCCATGGGGCTCCTTTCCTAGACATGGCTCTCCCTTGCTCAGATAATCGAACACTCCAGTTCTAGGGTCAGTTTTCGGCATGGCTGGATCCAGAATCTTAAACAATGTCTCTTGTCTTGGTTCCAACCTCCTCCGTGTATGGGCATCATCCTCCACCTGTCTCCCATTGGTCAGCAAGATGATCAACCTTCCCAACATTTCAGAAAAAGGCTCAGAGCTCCATCTCACTGGGCAAGTTTTGGTCATACGTCCTCACTGGAACCAATCCCAGAGCATGGGGAATGCTCGGCCCTGACTGGCTGAGGCCTGGGCCACAGGTTCCACCCCTCTGATGTTCACCCACTCTATCTGCTGGCTTTATGCCCTGCTGTATGCTGGGCATCAGGAACAGAGAAGCAGCCAACCTGTCCTCCAGGACTTCCCAGACTAAGGGATATTACACAATAAAGACCAGGCGGACCTTGACTCACTGAGCACTCAAAGCCAACCCCCATCCCTCTCTTGACCTCAGTGTGCCCCTTTGTACAATGGGTGCAGTATTTCCTGGACTAAATGGGACGGTGCCTGTGAACAGATAGAGGGTATTTTGTTTCTGTGGTGACTGGACCTCCTCTGCTTCTTCCCTGAAAGATTATCCTGAGGCAGTGACTCAGCTGAAGAAAGAGCCATGTACACACTAGGCCCATGCTCATCACTCGAGTGGACGCCGGAGTCCCTGGGCATGTCATTTCCCCTCTCTAAGCTTCAGTTTCCTAATCTGCAAAACAGGGGTGATGTTAGTACTTAACCTCATGGGATTGTTAACAATGGTGTCATCGGGGCAATGTGTCTCACATACAGTTAGGTGCTTAAACAGGTGGGAGCTTGTGATCAGCCATGGTCACCTCTGGGCAGCTCTGCCCATAGGATGCTATTTCTTTTTCCAACCCTTTAGCAGATATTTTTGAGGGCCTACTAAGCACGAGGTCTGTTTATTTGCTGGGGACTCAGATGTGCAAACAGTAGATCCATGCCTGTAGGATTTGACGTTCTAGTGGAGAGACAGACAATACCCAAGAAAACAGAGTTTGCCAACAGGGCTGAGGGCTGCCAGGGAGAGAATTCTGTGGTCTTCCTGTCAGAGGTGAGGCGGGGGGCCATGCAGGTGCGTGGGAGCTGCGGCTTCCAAGCAGAGGGAACAGGAGATGTAAATGCCCAGAGGCAAGAGTGGGCCTGGGTGTCAGGGAACAGTGAGGAAGGTCAGGGGAGGAGGTTCAGGGATTCTACTGGTGGTGGTCATGGGAGGGGGAGAAGAGGACACCCCCAGAGCCTTTTGGAAGCCAGAACCAGTGTATTTTCATACTTTGGAGACTCCATGGCAGTCCCCAAGCCCGGACTCCTGGGATCTCTGAGCCTCCCAGGTTTTTGCCAGTCCCTCCCTGGCTGAGGCATCTGGTCTCCTGGAGAGAGAGGTGGTCGGTCCTGCCAGTGATGCATTCTGTTCTTGTCTCTCTCTTTCTCCTCTCTCCTGGGTGCTGTTGAAGATAAAGGTACTCAGTGTGTGTGTGTCCGGGAAAATGCATGTGGATGTGCCTGCTCCTGTGTGGGTGGAGGGACAGGCAGGAAGGGACATCCAAAGGCCTGTCCTGGGCGGGGCTGGGGCTTGTGATCAGGGGCTGCTGTCGGGGCCATGGAGGCTGGAAGGCTGGGAGAGGGGAAGCACCAGGCTTGCTGTGTGGGAGTTGGGCAGCATGGGTGGGGGCCCCTTGGGGACACTGGAAGAGACCTCAGGATTCTCTAGGGAGCCCACCTCTGGTCACCCCTCATAAAGGGAGGTCCTTGGGGAGGCTCGTGTCTGGGTGTCCCTAGCTATGCCCCCCATCCAGGCCCCCAGAACAGTGCTTAGCCCCTCAATCTCCACATCTCCCTCTGGAGTCCAGATCCTGGAGGCAACACCCCTCTTGGAGTCCTTCGGTAATGCCAAAACCGTCAGGAACGACAACTCCAGCCGCTTTGGGAAGTTCGTGGAGATCTTTCTGGAAGGGTAAGTGGGGACAGTGGAGGGCCTCCCAAAGGCCTTGTAGTGTCTTCTATGTCCCACCACAGCCCCTAGGAACCAACACCAGCCCTCCTTCCCCTGCTGAGAGCTAACTGTGCTCCCTACCCCAGGAGCGTGATCTCTGGTGCCATAACCTCCCAGTACCTGCTTGAGAAATCCAGGATCGTGTTTCAGGTGGGCCAGCCCCTCCCAGGCCTGTGTGTTGGGCAGGGTTGGGGTGGGAGTTACAGATACTCAGAGCCTGGCCCCTGATGGGGCTGGGTAGATGTCAAGTGAATGAATGAATATGCCTGTACATGTGAGTCCACAACCTCCCCTCCCCAGCCCTCCTCTGGCCATGGTGGCTCCTCCCCACCCCACAGCACACAGGCACGCTCCTGCCAGGGCCTTTGCACCTTCTGTTCCTTCTCTCAGGAGCACTTATCTGTCAGGCGCCTGTTTGGCCAAACCCCTCACCTCCTCCAAGCCTCCCCTACAATTTCACTCATTCAGGAAGTTCCCCATTTAAAAACGCAGCCCCTCTCCATCCCATCTAAACCCCCACCCTGTCCACTGCCTTATTTTTCTCCAGTGTACTTTCCTCCATCTAATATATTTTACGTTTTAACCAGTGATTTGCTGAGTGTCTGTCTCCCTAGCTAGCAGGTGGACTCCATGAGATCAGGGGCTTCTCTCTGCCTTGTCCCCCATGTCCCAAGGGCCTGGACAGGGCCTGGTGCCCAGGAAGTGCTCAGCTATCAAGAAGCTCTGTGTGTGCACATGTGGGCTGTGGACACACATGTATGTAGGTGTGCATAGCCAGTACACACAAGAGAAGACGGCCCCCTTTTCTCTTCTTTCTCCTAACCAAATAAAATGCCAAAAGCAGAACCCTCTCAACCTTCAATCATACCAGGGCACCTCTGCTTCTGCCTTTACCCCAGCTGGCGCCAGGCTGGGAGCCTCACTTATCACAGAGACACGTGTTCTCATCTGCAGTCCCTTGTGTGATGTGCATTCATGGGCTTGGACCTGTGTGTGTACCTGGGAGTCACGTAGGTAGGTGGCTCCCTTCTCTGTGCCCACTACCTACTCTACAGGCCAAAAACGAGAGGAATTACCACATCTTCTATGAGTTGCTGGCTGGGTTGCCTGCCCAGCTCCGGCAGGCCTTCAGCCTGCAAGAGGCTGAGACCTACTACTATCTGAACCAGGTGAGTACCAGCAGGCATCCAAAGGCCCCCAGCCCTGGTCCTCCCACCCCAACACCCCTGGGTGGGCTGAGGGAGCCCAGTTGTGAGTGATGGAATGTGAAGGTGATGGAGATTTGGAGAGGGTGAGTTTGGATTTAAGGCATCTTGTCACGGTAAGGGGGACCAGGAATCTTCTGGGTCCAAAGTGGAAGCAGGAAAGGCCTACCTGACTTCATTTCTCTGGAACCTTGGATCAGAACCAACCAGCCTAGAGTGACTACACTTCCCCTCGCTGTGCCTCAGTTTCCTCATCCATGAAATGGGGCCAACATAGTACCACTTTGCAGGGATGTAGTGAGGCTTAGATGAGGAAATGCAGGTAAAGAGCTTAGCACATGGCCTGGCGTGCAAGGACGTACTCAGTAAACACTGACTACTCTTTTCATTATTATCACTGGGCAGCTGCAAAGGTTAGCAAGTGACAACCCCTGCCACACATTGCACTTAGAATCCATGAATCCCATCCGCAGCCCTACTCAGAGCCTCTGTGCCCATGAGAGTGGAATGAGAGCTTCAGTGACCAGCTCAGGCCACACTGCTGGTTAGGGCAGAGTGGAACCCGGAGGGCTCTGCAGCCCCACCCAAGCTCCCTGACCCTCAGCCTCTGTCCTCACCCAGGGTGGGAACTGTGAGATCGCAGGAAAGAGTGATGCAGATGACTTTCGCCGGCTCCTGGCTGCCATGGAGGTGTTGGGCTTCAGCAGTGAGGACCAGGACAGCATCTTCCGCATCCTGGCATCCATCCTGCACCTGGGCAACGTCTACTTTGAGAAGTATGAGGTGAGGGGTGTCACAGCCTGCCATGGGCCTGCACCCTCTGGACTTGGCCATCTTTTCCAAGGCCTTCTCTGTTTCCCTTTCAGATTACACTCTGCACACATCACTTGTCCTGTTGTTTTTTCCTTTGGGCTTGTTCATCTTTCTCCTCCTTATAGAAATTACGGAAATCAGCCCTTTGTCTCTGATATAAATTGGACATATATCTTCCAGTTTGTTGTTCATGTTTTAACATCGTTTACAATGGCTTTTGGTGGGAGGGGTCTCACTCTGTCATCTAAACTGGAGTGCGGTGGCATGATCTCCACTCACCACAACCTCTGCCTCCCAGAGTCAAGCAATTCTCCTGCCTCAGTCTCCCAAGTAGCTGGAATTACAGGCACGTGCCACTATCACCCCACTAATTTTTGTATTTTTAGTAGAGACGGGTTTTCACCATGTTGGCCAGGCTGGTCTTGATCTCCTGACCTCAGGTGAGCTGCCCACCTTGGCCTCCCAGAGTGCTGGGATTACAGGCGTGAGCCACAGTGCCCAGCCCTGTTTTTTATATGAACTTTAAATTCAGCTTATCTAGTTCAAAACACATTCCTGTTGGTATTTTGCATAGACGGATGCACAGGAGGTGGCCTCAGTGGTGAGTGCCCGGGAAATCCAGGCTGTGGCTGAGCTGCTACAGATCTCCCCTGAGGGCCTGCAGAAGGCCATCACCTTCAAAGTGACCGTGAGTCTGTGGGCATCTGGCCTTCAAACAAAGCTTCCTACCAGGGCCTGCCTTGTGCCCATCCTGTGTGGGCAGCCTCTCCCTCTCCCCTGCTCTCTGTCCCTGGGCCAGGCATGGAAGGGAGTAATTTCAGACCCCAAAGACATTTTAGATTCCAATCTTAGACTTGCATAGGCTGTTTCCTCTACCTGGAATGTTCTTCCTCTTTTCTCACCTACCCATCCTTTAAAATCCTATACAGCTATTCTCTCCTCTGAGAAGCCTTCTCTGATCTTTGGCCAGGTCAGTGCCTCCTCTGGTCTTTCACAGCCTTAGGATCATTCCCCCTGCCCAGGGTTGATCTCATTGTGTCTGCTGATGCCTCTGTCTCCCCCATAGACCTGCAGTCCCCACCATGACCAGCATTGCCAGGCAGAGTCGGGTCGGGGAGGGGGTGGTCCTGCCTAGCCTCTGTGTGCCTGAGCCCAGTCACATCTCTCCAGCCTTCCTTCCTCATGCTCCACTCCCCTAGTCCCCTGGGGGCTTTCTGGAGGCAGCGGCCAGCCTGCTGTCACTCAAGGGCTGTGCCCCTCCCCAGGAGACAATGCGAGAGAAGATCTTCACACCCCTAACTGTGGAGAGTGCTGTGGATGCCAGGTGAGGCTGCACCCCACCCTGCCTGAGCCCCAGGGCCCAGCACCCCACCACAGTATCCTGCCCACAATAGCGCCACCTCTGCTTTAGGGACGCCATCGCCAAGGTCTTGTATGCGCTGCTGTTCAGCTGGCTTATTGCCAGGGTCAACGTGCTGGTGTCCCCGCGGCAGGATACACTGTCCATTGCCATCCTGGACATCTATGGTTTTGAGGTGGGGCTGTGTGAGAGGCTGAGGGGCAGGGGACATAGGCGAGGTCTCACTTCCCTCAGGTGTCTCAGGCTGCCCTTCCCATCCCTTTCTGTGCCTGCAGCAGGTGCCATCTTCCCTTCATAGACCCCTCCCCATCACTATCTCCCCTGTCACCTTCCATTTTCTTTACTCACCACAAGCACTCCCCAAAGCCTCTGGGCCAGGCCCTGTGCTGGGCAATACCAGCTGCCCAGAAAGGACCAGCCAGGGCCCTGCCCTTGGGGAGCTTCCAGGTGAGGCTGGGTGGGGGTGGGGGCAGACTCTGACCCATATGCTCCAGTGGGCATCATTTACCTGGGCAGGAATGGGGAAGGCTTCCTGGATGGGGATGAGACACTCCCGACACCCAGTCAAGGCATTATAGGTGCAGGGAACAGAATATGCAAAGGCTGGGAGGGGTGGAGGGGCATGGAATCTGGGACTGGACTTCTTGTGTGCGGGGTGACTGCTGTGTGAGTACACAGCAAGGGAAGTGGCGAGGGACAGGGCAAGATCGCAATGCAACCATCACGGACACTCACGTGGCACCTGTTATGTGCCAGGTGCTGCTGAAAGCACTTCGTTAATTCACTTCATCTTTAGAGCAACCCTATGAGGCAGGTACTGTCTGTATCCTCATTTTATAGACGGGAAAACTGAGGCATGGGACTGTTATTCAAGGTCATATAGCTAGAAAGTGGCAGACCCAGAATTTGAACCTAGGCAGAAGGCCCTGGAGCCTGGGCCTTCAGCCATTGCCTATGCTGTCAGGACAGAGCCTGTCAGGTTCTGTTTTGGGTGTAGCAGGAGCCATGGAGGGTTCTGAGCTAAGGGTCTGTGGTTGAACTCAAGCTTTTTGAAGTTGCCACCAGGGAAGACAGGGGCAGATAGGCTGGTGGCCCAAGAAGGACTGTTCCCAGCCTCCCTATTCACCTGGCAGGACCTGAGCTTCAACAGCTTTGAGCAGCTGTGTATTAACTACGCAAATGAGAACCTTCAGTACCTTTTCAACAAGATCGTCTTCCAGGAGGAGCAGGTGTGTTGGCCCCATTAACACTCCTGTCCCTATCTTGACTGGACAGTGGACCTTCTTGGAAACAAACAAGGATATATTTGTTGTTTAAGAGCAATTCTGATGTCACAGCCAGTGGAGGGAAAGGTATTCTAAGCTGGGAACCAGCTCATGGGAAGGCTCCTGTTCTGGAGGGAAAGGTGCTAAGGTGCTGTGCTCAAAGAGGAGTCTCCTTGGGGGAGTCCTTCTTGTCCTCTTCTGGGCTGTCCCAGGCAGAGGGAGCAGCAGGACTCTGAGTTGGCTCATGTTGCCTTATTAGGGGGTGAGCTCCCTGTTCTGGGTGGTATGCAAGCAGAGGTGCTGCTGGCCAGGCTCCTTCAGGCAGATTCAGGGTCTGTGGTTGAGCTCAAGCTTTTTAAAGGAGGAGGGTGGGAGGACCCTGGACAGGGATGGGAGGCTGAGCTCCTGTTGCCCCCTGCCTGCAGGAGGAGTACATCCGTGAGCAGATTGACTGGCAGGAGATCACCTTTGCTGACAACCAGCCCTGCATCAACCTCATCTCACTGAAGCCTTATGGCATCCTGCGCATCCTCGACGACCAGTGTTGCTTTCCTCAGGTGAGCTGCAGGTACTGTGTGAGCCTAAGCAGGTCACACATCTCTCAGCCTCGTGTCGTCATCCCAGCCTGACTCCTTCATTCCTCTCTGCTCTGGCCCGAGGCGGGCAGTGGGAGGTTGGGGCACCCAACTAACTATTCACAACCTGGGGTGACTGAGGCCATATGGGCAGCTGTGGTTGTCCAGAGGAGAGGCTGCACCAGCCTGAAAGCCACAGAAGTTTTCCTGGAGGAGGTAACCTTAGGATTGGGCCTCAGATCCTGATTGCAAACACAAGAGTGGATGGCAGTGAGATCAATAGAGTGCAAAGACAGCTGGCCTGGAGGGGAGGCAGTTAGGAACTCACCCAGCCACAGGTATCTTCAAGGGACCACTTAGGCCTCCAGTGCCTGGCTAAAGCACTTGCCTCTGACCCAGGGAGAGGGGCAGCCGTGGGAAGCTGTGAGTTGTTCCTTGCTGGTGCCCAATGGAGAGCAGTCAGGGGTAGTGAGTTTGCCACCAGGCCAGGAACAGGGTGTCCAGGGCCCCTGCCCACCAACTGATCCCTAACTGTCCCCAGGCTACAGACCACACCTTCCTACAGAAGTGCCACTACCATCATGGCTCCAACCCGCTCTATTCCAAACCCAAGATGCCGCTGCCTGAGTTCACTATCAAGCACTACGCAGGCAAGGTCACCTACCAGGTGAGCCCCAAGACGGCCAGTCTGGCCGCTGGTGCTGCAGTGCTGCTAGCTGTTAGAGACACAGAAGCACAACACTGGCCCCACACATTCACGCCCAGGTCTAGTTCTGGCTCTGTTGTGCCCCATCTCTGTGACCTTGAGCAAACTGCTTAGCCAGTCTGAGCCTCAGTTTTCTCACTTGGGAAATGGGCATAATAATAGTGCCCATCTCATGGGGTGGGTGTGATAAATGGAGGGTGGGTTTGATAAAGAGTAGCTCTTATCAGTAGTGACATCACTGTGAGTACCCTCAGCACTATTATTTGAGGCTCATTCCTGCCCTGGAGGTGTCTCAGGCTAGGATTCCATGCCTCTGTCCCCATCTGGGTCTTACTTTTCTCATCTGTAGAATGGGCACAGGACAATGTACTTCACTGAGGGTGAGGCCAAGACCCAGACCCGGCATGTGAAGCCATGATGAATGCTCCCCTCCCCCAGGAATGGGGAGAATAGTGGGTCTGGAGGGGTGGGGACCATAGCAGTGAGGAGGATCCAGTCCCTCCTAGGATAGACAGAGAGACAGAGGCCTGGAGGGGCAGGGCCGGGATTACTCAGGCTGTTGTTTCCTTTTTCAGGTGCACAAGTTCCTGGATAAGAACCACGATCAAGTGCGCCAGGACGTGCTAGACTTGTTCGTAAGGAGCCGGACACGGGTGAGCCTCCCTTCTACTGCTACGGCCCTGCCCCCAGGCATAGCCCTGCTCCCACACCGAGCTGCCTTCAGGCCTTGGACCATGTTGTCTAGTCCTGGCTCTGCTTAGTTTTGGCCAGACCTGTTCCTGCCTAGCTTGGCTCTTCCCTAAACCTAGCTCCTCGGCCTGATCCTGCCCTCTGGCTCCCCCGAGCCCCAGTGGCCAGACCCTGGCCCCACTCCCAGTTCTAACCCTGTATCCCATCAGCTGTGGCCTTGCCCTATACTTACCCCATTCCTGGCCCCACCCCATTCCCTGGCCCATTCTCTCCTGACTTTCTGCCAGACTTGTTCTCCCAATCCCACCCCCTGGTATTCTCAGTTCCCCAAACTCCACCCATAAGGCCCTGGGGAGAGCTTAGGGGACCAAATTTGGGTTCCTTGAAGGCTTGGGGAGGCCCTGCATCCCAGCTACACTGTGGCCAGTAGATGGCCCTAGGACAGAGCACAGGCCTGGTAACATCACTTCCCCTATCTGGCCTTCTGCTTCCTCCTGTCAACTGGGCACCCTCCTCATGAGGTCATAGCCAGAGTTCACAACCATGTGTCTAACAGGCCACCTTGGGGCCAGGCACACAGTCAGTGACTGTGTGTTCCTCAGACTAAAGGGGGAAAAGTCAGCCAGTTGTGGGATGGATCCCTTGGAAGGTGCTGAGCCCCACCTGTTTTGAGAAGCATGCAAGCCAGGACAACAGAGGCCTTGCAGAGGGAACAGGGGTCCAGTTAGTCTTCAGATCCCCTGGTCCGGAGACTTGACTCCTACTCTCTGTTCCTCCTCATTTCGGTCTCCCGGCCCCTGCCTGTCTGTTTTCCCTCCCCCAACCCCTGCCCAGGTGGTGGCGCACCTCTTCTCCAGCCATGCCCCACAGGCTGCCCCTCAGCGCCTGGGCAAGAGCAGCTCCGTCACTCGGCTCTACAAGGCACACACTGTGGCTGCCAAGTTCCAGCAGTCACTCCTGGATCTGGTGGAAAAGATGGAGAGGTGGGGTGGGGGGCAGGTGGGCGGAGCACCCAGCCTCACCCTTAACCCACCTCACGACCTTCAGAGGGTGAGAGCCTTCTTTGTCTGAGGCCTCATGCTGTCCTCTTCCTGCCACTGCCAGGTGTAACCCCTTGTTTGTGCGTTGCCTGAAGCCCAACCACAAGAAGGTGAGTGAGAGCTGAGACCTCTGAGAGAGCCAAATCCTCCTGCCCATGCTGTGTGACCTTGACCAAGTGGCTTGGCCTCTCTGGACCTGCATCTCCCCAGCCTAGCACTGGGACTATTCACCATGATAGTGCCCTTTGCACATGGATGAGCCAATGTGCAGACTCCCTCTCTGCACACCTCTACAGGAGCCTGGTCTCTTTGAGCCAGATGTGGTAATGGCACAGTTACGCTATTCAGGGGTGCTGGAGACCGTGAGGATCCGCAAGGAGGGATTTCCAGTGCGCCTGCCTTTCCAGGGGTTCATCGACAGGTACCTTGGTTAGGGTAGTTCCTGAGCTCTATAAATCCCTGCCCAACTCCCCATGGCCCCGGGAATACACAACCCAGGCAGCACAGGGCTGCTGTGCACAGTTGCTCAGATTGTACACTACATAAGGCTGCCACATGATAGATGTTATGTGGTAGATACATTTATTGTTTTTGCCTTTTTTGTAGTTTTATTATATGCTGTATAACGTACAATACGTATAATCAACCCTCCGTGTTGATTAGAATGGTTTTAGTAGTTATAATGAAAAGTTTCCAGCAGGTGGCAGTCAAATGTCTTGTTCTGCTGAAATCTATTTTAACAATTTTCTGTCACCCTGAAGTAAAGAGTCTTGAGGATGGAGTGCCTTTTTTAGAGTGCACTATTAGTGGAGCCACCACTGGGACCAGGCCTCTTGGACATGGGGCGGGGATGGTAACCCCATGGTCTAACAGGCACCTCAGGTAGGTCTCATAGCCCCAGACTGAGTGTGGGCACCCTGCCAGGTACTGCTGTCTAGTGGCCCTCAAGCACAACCTGCCGGCTAATGGGGACATGTGCGTGTCGGTGCTGAGTCGCCTGTGCACAGTCATGCCAAACATGTATCGTGTTGGGGTCAGCAAGGTGAGTCCCACCCGATAGCCCTTAAGAGACCCCAATTTGGGGGCTCCAGAACCACTGAGTCAGAAATGTCCAAGCTAGAGACCACTGTCCCAGAAACAACCCAGATGAGTTTGGGACATGGAATGCTAACTGCCCGATTCACCAGCACCCTTTCTTCCACCTCCCGAAATCCATCCCATCCCTCCAGCTCCACCCCAGGAGGCATCCCTGTCTATTCTGTCTCCACGGATTCTAGAGAGGGTTGGGCCCTTGTTCCAGCCTCCTGGCTCCAAACTGCCTCAGTGTCTGCCTCCTGTCCTCAGCTGTTCCTTAAGGAACACCTACACCAGCTGCTGGAGAGTATGCGAGAGCACGTCCTGAATCTGGCAGCCCTTACTCTGCAGCGCTGCTTCCGTGGCTTCTTCATCAAGCGGCGATTCCGCTCTCTGCGCCACAAGATCATCCTGCTGCAAAGCCGGGCCCGTGGCTACCTTGCCAGGTGAGGCCCAGAAAAGGCAGGATTCCTAGGAGACCTATGGTCAGGCTCAGGAGAGGTCACATCCAACCTTGAGTAGTGAGCTCCCTATTCCTGGAAGCATGCAAGCTGAGGATGGAGGCCTCTGCAGGGAGCATAATCAGATTCTCTGTGTCTCTGCTTTTGGATGCCCTTCCCAGCCACCCCCAGGCCCTTGTGACTGGTAGGTGGGAATCCATTCAACCAAGAGGGACCTTATCCTGCATCTCAGGGACCCTGAGATTATAAGCTGTTTGGAAATAAATGATTCAGGCAGGTTTAATCCAGGCCCTGCTACTTAATTTGCTGTGTGGCCTTGGCCAAATCACTGTCCCTCTCTGAGCTCGTTTCCCTTTGTGCCAAAGGGCCCCAAGTATGAGGTGTGAACACTGGCTCCCAGGCCAGGCTGGCAGGGGCCTTTCTGCCCCTTGTTCACCCTGTCACCCTGTAGCCCCAATCCCTGACCTCTCCACTCCTCCAATCCAGGCAACGCTATCAGCAAATGAGGAGGAGTCTGGTGAAGTTCCGGTCCCTGGTACACGCATACATGAGCCGCCGACGCTACCTCAAGGTACAGGCCCTACCCTATTTCAGTCCAAGAGGACAGCAGAGAGGGGGAAAAGGCACTTAGCAACCAAGAGGAGACCATTGGCCTCAGGCAGTTCAAATTCTGTAACCTGGGCCATTCTCTCCCCAATTTTCCAATCTACCCCTTGGGATTGTGGAGAGGGTTAAATGAGATGTTGCATTGAAAGATTTGGCCCAGTGCTGGGTTCACAGTATGGTCTTAAGGAATTGAGGGCCATTAGAATTTGGCGACCTGAATGTCGCTGGGTATGGTTTTGCTCTTACCTGTCTTGGCCCACTGTCATGTAAACCAGCCACCAGAAAGACAATGCAGTTCCCAAACCAACAAAGCAGTATGCAGCCTTTACTGAACGCTTTGTGGCGCTACAGAGGAGGGCTTCCCATGACACAGTGCTCAGCCACCTCCCAGAAATCCTCCTTGTGCATCCCTTTCCCCAGAGTTTTCCTCCCTCCTCTCTTTGCCTCTGTCTTTCTCTTGTTCTCTCTCCTTTCCCCTCCCTGTTTTTCTGGCCAACCTCGGCCTCCCACCCCACCTGTGGAGTGGGGCAGTGGCAAGCTGCCCCTCCTTGCTTGTGTGTGGCTCCTTTGCATAAGCCGGCCTGGCCTGCCTGGGTGTCCGCGATTGCCTCTGCCCGCCACTCCCCACCTTGACATCTGCTCTTTGAAGCTGAGGGCAGAGTGGAGGCACCGGGTGGAGGGGGCACAGTTGCAGAAGCAGGAGGTAGGTGCAGGTCTGGGTGGCAGCAGGGCCAGGGAGGGAGGCTGGCAGGTGGGGATGTGGCAGGCCTGTCCCTGCCCCATGCACTGTTCCTCCAGGAGCTGAGCAAGCGGGAGGTAGTGGCTGTGGGGCACCTCGAGGTACCGGCTGAGCTGGCTGGGCTCCTGCAAGCAGTGGCAGGTGGGTTGGCACTGGGCGCAGGGAGGGCACAGGCAGATTGGAGCAGGCACTGCATTCCCTCCTCTCTCCACAGGCCTCAGGCTGGCCCGGGTGCCTCAGGTGGCACCTGTGCGGACTCCTCGGCTCCAGGCTGAGACCCGTGTCACACTGCCCCTGGATATCAACAACTATCCCATGGCCAAGTTTGTCCGGTGCCACTTCAAGGCAAGGACTAGCTGAGGTCTAAGGTGCCCTGGCTGATAGGGCTGACCAATTAGAAGGGACATTGTCCTTGCCCTGGAGCAGGGTCCTGGCTGTGTCCAGTGGTGTTGGGTATAAGCCTTTTACTTGCTGGATCATAGGGACTCTGGGAGATCCCTAGGGTCTGGATAGCTGTGGAGAGCCCTCAGGGGCTTGGGCAGGGCAATTTACTACTAACCAGTCTGGAAATATTTCAGAAACAACTAGTGGAGCCATAGCAAGTCAGCCCAGCTCAGATTTCCTCCCCTCCAGATGAGGGTTCATCCTGTCCCTACCACTGACTTGCTGAGGGCCACTGTGGCCCCGCATCAGCCCTCAGTTTCCCTATTCATACACTGAGGACCAGAGCCCCTGTGTCATAGTCCCTGGAGCCCCATGTGGCACAGGGCAGTGGGTCCAGATGTGCCTATCAGTCTCAGCGCTGTCTGCTCACGTGCCTGCCCTGTACCCTAGGAGCCTGCCTTTGGGATGCTGACAGTGCCCTTGAGGACACCCCTTACACAGCTGCCAGCCGAGCACCATGCAGAAGCCGTGAGCATCTTCAAGCTGGTATGGGGTCCTCCCCCGCCCACCTTCTAATTCATAGCCCCTGGCCCTGAAGCTGGGCCATGAGGCTCCCAGTCTTCCCAGCCCTGCCCAAGCCCAATCCATGAGCCCCACACCTCTTCCCCAAAGGAGAAACTTTTTTTTTTTGAGACAGAGTCTTGCTATGTCACCCAGGCCAGAGTGCAGTGGTGCAATCTTGGCTTACTGCAACCTCTGCCTCCCAAGTTGAAGTGTTTCTCTTGCCTCAGCCTCCCAAGTAGCTGGGACTACAGGCTCGTGCCAAAGCACATGGCTAATTTTTGTATTTCTAGTAGAGACAGGGTTTTACCATATTGGCCAGACTGGTCTTGAACTCCTGATCTCGTGATTTGCCTGCCTCGGCCTCCTTCAAATTGCTGGGAATACAGGCGTGAGCCACTGCACCTGGCCAGAAGAAACTTTTACGTCAGTGGGGGAATATGGCTTCCTCTCTGGGGATTGGTGGCTTTTCTTCTCCCAGCTATCTTTCGGGCAAAAAAGGACTGCCTTGGGCCGGGTGCAGTGTCTCACTTCTGTAGTCTCAGCACTTTGGGAGGCTGAGGCAGATGGATAATGAGGTCAAGAGATCGAGACTATCCTGGCCAACATGGTGAAACCCCGTCTCTACTAAAAATTTTTTAAAAATTAGCTGGGCATGGTAGCACATGTCTGTAATCCCAGCTACTCAGGAGGCTGAGGCAGAAGAATCGTTTGAACCAGGGAGTCAGAGGTTGCTGTGACCCGAGAGCATGCCACTACACTCTAGCCTGGTGACAGAGCAAGACTCCATCTCCAAAAAAAAAAAAAAAGACTGCCTTGGAGCCTTTCAGGGACACTAAGAAGATACCCAGTTCTTCTCCTTAAGGACTTCTCAGTCTCACAGGGAGGCAGAGCTGACCTGGCCAGTGACCACCAGCATGGATAGAGGGAAGCACCAAAGCGAGAGAGTCTGATGGGGCCACTAACTCAGCCCTGGGCAGGGCCACAGAAGGCTTCGTGGAGGAGAAGGCATTTGAGTTGGAGGAGAATTTGCCAGGCAGGGAGAGTGGAGAAAGTACAGAGAGAAGAGAAAATTGGTATGGTCAGAACAGAATCAGAAGGGCAAGGGTGAGAGTGGCCAGTGAGGCCTCTTGATTACAGACCCAGAGCTTAGATTTCATCCCAAGGGACCTAGGGAGCCAAGGCAGGGGCTTCCATGGGAGGGATGTGGTCATATCTGAATGTTAAAAAGAACCTTCTGTGGCCTAGATAGAGCAGAAAGTGAGGGTCTGGCTGGAGGCCAGGGGTCTGGGGAGGGAGCTGGGGCTGTATGGGGAGCTCTAGAAGGTTCATGAACAGGGAAGACAACACATACTTTGGATCTAGAGTTTTCCCATAGTCGAGATGAACTGCCTAGCCATTCGGCATAGAACATGGCAGTTGTAGGCGCAGTGGTGCACGCTTGTAATCCCAGCACTTGGGGAGGCCAAGGTGGGCAGATCCATTGAATCCAGGAGTTTGAGATCAGCCTGGGCAGCATGGTGAAATCCTGTCTCTACTAAAAACACAAAAATTAGCTGGGTGTGGCTGCACATGCCTGTAATCCTAGCTACTTGAGGGGCTGAGGCAGGAGGATCGCTTGAGCCCAGGGAAGTTGAGGCACAGGGAGCTGAGATTCTGCCACTGCACTCTAGCCTGGGTGACAGAGACCTCATCTCAAAAAAAAAAAATATATATATATATATATATATACACATATATATAATACATATATATACATATATACATACATATATATATGTATACATATACACAGTTATATTGTAATATGAGGAGCATTTATGTGGGCACGGGCACACATGGGAGGGACATGAAAGGGATGCATGTTGTGGGGTAGGGACCAGAAGGAACAACTTTCCAAGAGGTTCTGTTCGTGGCCCAGATCCTGCGCTTCATGGGCGACCCCCACCTGCATGGTGCCCAGGAGAACATCTTCGGCAACTACATTGTGCAGAAGGGGCTGGCGGTGCCTGAGCTGCGGGACGAGATCCTGGCACAGCTGGCCAACCAGGTGTGGCACAATCACAATGCCCACAATGCCGAGCGGGGCTGGCTGCTGCTGGCCGCCTGCCTCAGTGGCTTTGCACCTTCCCCGCGCTTCAGCAAGTACCTTCTCAAGTGAGTGGGATTGGATAGGGGCTGGAACATGACGGATGATGGCACCAGCAGTGGGGCCCAGGTCGGGTGTTAAAGGTCAGGCCAGGAGTGAGATCTCCACACCAGAAAGCTCCGGCATGCAGGCTGGCCAGGGCTACTCTGAGTTTCTGCTGGGATACATTGACCTCTTACAGCATGGGAGTTTAGTGGGGTGGTTAGGAGTATGGATGCTGGACTCAATCAGTGTTGAAGTCCCGGCTCAGCCATATATGCGGCAAGTCACTGCCTGAGACAATTCACTGCCCCTCTCTGAACCTGTTTCTCCCCTATAATTTGGGGATGGCAGCAGAACCCACCTAACACGGTGGCTGTGAGCTACAGAGTTACGGAATCTTGCTCAGGCCAGCGTGCAGCAGATGGACATCACCTGGCCAGTCTTGTGACACTGTGGCAGCTGACACCAGGGTAGGGCCTTTGCTGGCCTGCCTATCTAGGACTTTCCTGAGGGCATGGTGCTAGGTTCCCTCTCTAGCTACTGTGGGCTACTGTGGGCCTGCAGCCAGGCTTAGCTGCAGTGGGTGTAGGATATGGAGGTGAGGGAAGCATGAGGAATGACTGGTAGGGATTGGGCTCATTGAGCCTAGGTTGAGTTGAACCCTCAGCCATCTCTTTTATAGAAAACTTGGAGGAGGGCCAGGTGCGGTGGCTCACACCTGTAATCCCAGCACTTTGGGAGGCCGAGGCGGGCGGATCACAAGGTCAAGAGATGGAGACCATCCTGGCCAACATGGTGAAACCCCGTCTCTACTAAAAAAAAAAAAATACAAAAATTAGCTGGGCGTGGTGGTGCATGCCTGTAGTCCCAGCTACTCGGGAGGCTGAGGCAGGACAATAGCTTGAACCCGGGAGGCAGAGGTTGCAGTGAGCCAAGATCGCGCCACTGCCCAACAGCCTGGCGCCTGGTGACAGAGCGAGACTCTGTCTCAAAAAAAAAAAAAAAGAAAAAGAAAAGAAAACTTGGAGAAGAGGCTCAGAGAGGGCAGATAACCACCCGAGGTTACCCTGTGAGAGAATGAAGGCAGAGTTCAGGTTGTTGCCCACACCCAGCTGCAGACCACATCCTATCAATGACATTTTGTTCCAACAAGCTGGAATCTCTTCAGTCTATCCTTGGACCTCTGTGCTGGCCTTAGATACTTCTGGGCTAGCCTGAGACCCTTTCAGTTTATCTATGGGACTCTAAGCTACCCTGCAATATTTTGTAGGCTAGCCTGGAACCCCTTAAGTATAGTCTCAGAGCACTGGACTCTAGCCTGGGACCCTTCTGAACTAGCCTGGGGCCTTTTCAGCTTCACCCTGGGGCTCTGGAATAGCCTGGCCCTTTCTCAGACTAGCCTCAGAATTACCTACCCCCACCCACCAGCCCCCAGCTAGCTTCAGATCCCTCTTGATCCTGGTTCCAACTCCTACCCATCAGGTTTGTGTCTGATTATGGGCGAAATGGATTCCAGGCTGTGTGTCAGCACCGCCTCATGCAGGCCATGGGCCGGGCCCAACAACAGGGCTCGGGGGCTGCCCGAACCTTACCCCCAACCCAGCTCGAGTGGACAGCGACCTATGAGAAGGCCAGCATGGCGCTGGACGTGGGCTGCTTCAATGGTAAGCTGCCTTCCCCAACCTCAATGAGGGCAGTGGGAGTCATCAGGGCCCAGTGAGCCCTAGGGATGGCAGAAGCTACTGGACATTCTGGAGCCAAGGAGGGGCTTGCTCCGATATGGCTCTGCATGAAAGTCTGTGTGTGGGGGTGGGACCTGGCTTGGAGAGGGGAAGCCAGGGAAGTGAGACTATAGATACAGGAAGCCTGAGAGGAGGAAGCAAGCAGGGAGGCACAGCCAGACTGGACTCAGATGCTCCAACCTGAGCCCGGCACCTGCTGTGCCCCAGGTGACCAGTTCTCCTGCCCGGTACACTCCTGGAGTACAGGGGAAGAGGTGGCTGGAGACATTCTGAGGCACAGGTTCGCTCCTAGGATGCCCTCCCAGCACACTCTTATGTACCTGGAATGTAGGCTGGGGGGAGGTCAGATCCCCCAAAGGGTCCCATAGGGTCCACTCCATTCATGTTTAGGGTCTGCCTTATATCCCAGGATCTCCCCAGGTAGTGCCTGATGACTCTGTCCCTCATTGCTTTTCCTGTGCATGCCATCACCAGGGGGCTGGCAGATGGTTGGCGTGGCTGGACTGTGGCCATGAAGAATGGTGTCCAGTGGGCAGAGCTGGCTGGCCATGACTACGTGTTGGACCTGGTGTCGGACCTGGAGCTGCTCAAGGATTTCCCTAGACAGAAGTCCTATTTCATTGTGGGCACAGAGGGGCCTGTACCCAGCAGGGGAGGCCCCAAAGTGTAGGTAGCTATGGGGGACCCCCTCACAGATGCCCACTCCCAAACAGAAGGCCTGCCCCTCCTAGCTGCTGGGAGAGGCTGAGCCCTGAACTTAGACTTCAGGTTCTTAAGGAGGTAGAGTTCACCAAAGGATCCTGCTTTTAAAGGGAGAAAGTCACCCAATTACAGGGTGCAGAGGAAAATTTGGGGGGTTCTGAGGTCTCTCTGGGGGTCAGCAGCTCCACATTCCTTTTCCCCACAGGGTGTTTGGGAACAGCTGGGACTCCGATGAGGAGACGCCCACTAGACCCCAGCTCCAGGAGCACATGCACAAAGTACCGGACTCTGATGGGAACAGCAGCCGCAATGAAGATGGTACAAATGGGGAGACTGAGGCCCAGAGAGGGACAGCAACCCACCAAGGTCAACCAACAATGGCTGCTGTCTCTGGTGGGGAGGGACCCTTGGAGGCTATGCGGGGTGGAAATCATCAGGAAAAAAGGAAAAAAGAACTACTTGACATTTTTGTGCCCTCCCCTCCAGAGTCAGACAGTCTTGGAGAGCCTGCTGGGCCCCACAAGGGGCTGGACTGCTACCTGGATAGCCTCTTCGACCCCGTGCTGTCCTATGGGGATGCGGTAGGGATGGAGTGAGGCAGATCATCTGCAGACTGCAGGCACAGCATGTACACCCAAGTCACACATTTGTACAGGGTGACCTGAGAGCTTCTCACAGCCAGGGTCATGGGTGGTGTGTCCCATCTGGGTGTCTACTGGAGGCTGGGCAAAGGATGAGGGTTGCTTCACAGCTAGAGATGCTCTTAGCTTATTCTGGAAGGACCCACAGTTAGAAGTGCTTCTCTAGCCAAAGGCATGCCTCTGTAGTCCCAATTACTTAAGAGACTGAGGCAGGAGGATCTTTTGAGCCCAGGAAGTCTGCAGCGAACCATGATCGCACCACTGTGCTCCAGCTTCAGCACTGGGCAACAGCAAGACCCCGTCTCAAAAAAAAAAAAAAGAAAGAAAGAAGTGCACCTCTGGTGGGAGCCAGCCCCCTGGGGCCACTAAAATATCTGGGTAGAGTTGAATGACCTTGGTCCCTGGGTCCTCTGGCCCCAGATCTCACGAGACCCCTCAGGTACCCTCGTTCACTCTGGAAACTCTCCAGAACCCACCCCACCCCCACTGCCCCTGATACGATATGCAGCCCTGAGCAGGGCACAGTCCCTCCTTGAGCCTCAGTTTACTCCTCTGTGGAAGAGGGAATGGGTTGGGAGCTCACGCGGTTATGGGGAAGACTGATTGGGATGCCATAGGGGTAAAGGCTGAGCATAGAGCAGACACAGCCAGTGAGAGGCCGCTCCCTCCCACCAGAGGGAGGGAAGTGGCCAGTGTCAGGTGCTTGTTGCCATGGAACCTTAGGAGTACAGCATTGAGATGGTCACTTGAGCCACCTACTTCCCCCAGGACCTGGAGAAGCCAACAGCCATTGCCTACCGCATGAAAGGGGGAGGCCAGCCAGGTGGAAGCAGCAGTAGCGGTACTGAAGACACCCCCAGGAGGCCCCCAGAGCCAAAGCCAAGTCAGTGCCTCCCCAGGGTGGTTCCAGGGTTGGGCAGGGCCAGAACCACTTGCTGGTCCTCAGGCACCTTCATGTGCTAGAATGGAGGCAGCCACAGCACAGTGGGGGTTGAGAGGACAGGGAGGAGGGCGTCTCCGGTGCCATCTCTGCCCTCTGCCCTTTCCCCTCAGTCCCAGGCCTGGACGCCTCCACATTGGCTCTGCAGCAAGCCTTCATTCACAAACAGGCTGTCCTGCTGGTGAGTGAGGGAAGGACTTCTGGGGGGTGGAGAATGGACCTGCGTGGTCACCACTGCCACTTCTCCCCAGGCCCGGGAGATGACCCTGCAGGCCATGGCACTCCAGCAGCAGCCCCTGAGTGCTGCCCTGAGATCCTTGCCCACAGAGGTGAGCCTGGCCCGCCCAGGGTGCAGGGGTTGCTAGCAGACACAAGCTGTAAAGATGGGTGCTGTGCTGCTCCAGGGCATTATTGTGCCTCTCTGAGCCCAGGGGCTCCACAGCCCATCTTTGACAGAGATCTGGGGTCCCAGAGAATAGCCTGATATATCCCAGGCAGCCCACCTCATGTTCTGTTCTCCACAGAAACCCCTAGCACCAGATGCACAGCCGAAGTCTGTAGGTACCGGTCCCCCGGCCAAACCCGTGCTCCTGCGTGCCACTCCAAAGCCCTTGGCCCCAGCCCCTCTGGCCAAGGCTCCAAGGCTCCCCACCAAGCCTGTGGCTGCCCCTGTTCTAGCTCATGATCAGGCTTCTCCAGAAACCAGTGAGTGCCCTATCCCAGCCTCTGAGGCTTCCCAGGACAAGCCTGGGGATGTGGTTGTGCCTCTTATGACCTCACCCTTTTCCCACCACCCTGCTTGCCCACAGCTTCACCCTCCCCAGAGCTGGTCCGGTACTCAACACTCAACTCTGAGCACTTCCCACAGCCCACACAGCAGATCAAGAACATTGTCAGGCAGTACCAGCAGCCATTCCGGGGAGGCCGGCCTGAGGCTCTCAGGTCAGCACTGCCCCTGCCCCCAGCCCTCCAGCCCCTCACTGTGCCTGAGTGTCCATCATGGTGCACCAGCTTACTGGTGCAGGGGTTGAAGCACCCTGCCCAGTTCCTGTTAGGGAGGGAGTTTATGTTGGTGAGTCCAGATGAGACCCTGCTGTTGTCTAGGTTGTGCTGTAGGACTTCAGGCCAGTCTCTGCTTCTCTCTGGATTCTCGTTTATAATGATGGGAGTGGTGGTGGAGGAGGAGTAAGTTCCCTACTGTCAAAATATGTGACGGGAAAGGGAGACTCAGTGTCAACCTGCCACGGTTCTCCAATGCCCACAGGAAGGGTGGCGGGAAGGTGTTCATGAAGCAGCCAGACCCCCATGAGGAGGCCCTGATGATCCTAAAGGGGCAGATGACTCACCTGACAGCTGCACCTGGCACCCAGGTGAGGGGGCAGGGTGAGGCTGGGCCCAGGGGGAACATAAGTCAAAGAGGGGCCTCAGGGATCCTCAGAAACTGGCCACCCCTATAAGCTGTGGCCCTGCCACTGCCCCTCCACAGGGCCTGCCTGTTGCCCCCTGAGCAGTCTCTTTGGGGTGGGACAGGTGTCCAGAGAAGCTGTGGCCCTGGTAAAGCCGGTGACCAGTGCACCAAGGCCATCCATGACACCCACTTCAGGTGAGAGGGCCAGGAGGTGAGGAGGGTATCCAAGTATATGAGGAAGTCTGTGGGCACAGGTGAGTCCCAGTCTGTGTGTCGGTGGAGTGTGTCTGTTCCTGGGCCCCTGTGTACATGTTGTGAGCATACTGGTATAATTATAATATTAGCACTTAAGTAGCACATATCTCTGGCCACTCCCATCCTGGCCTCATATAATCCTACCAGAACCCTTCAAGGTAGCGCTATTATTCCTACATGTTGCAGATGGGGAACTGTACTCCTCACCCTCCTGCCTTGGCTGCATGGCCTGCCCACTGCATCTCAGTCTCTTTCCATCCCCTCTGCCCACTCCTCTCTGGCAGCCCCCAGGCCTAGGGCAGGTTATCTCTGTGCCCCAGGCCCGAGGAAGGCTTTAGCTGGAAGATCAGTGAGGTATTGAGTGGGAAAAGCCTATGCATGTTCCCTAAAGTCCATGTGTGTCCCTCAGACTCAGCCTCCAGCCCTTTCTTCCACCCAGAATGCCCTTACCCCTTCTCACCTAATGAGGGCTCCCTGATGAGTCAGGAAGGATGTGAGGAGCAGGTGTTGCCCTAGACAGGTTAAGTGGCTTGCCCAAGGTCACACTATTATTCCTACATGTTGCAGATGGGGAAATGGAGGCACAGACAGGTTAAGTGGCTTGCCCAAGGCCCCCTGGCATCACAGTTGGAGCCCTAACCTCTACACCAGACGTCCCCAAACTATGGCCCTCGGGCCTCATGCGGCCCCCTGAGGCCATTTATCTGGCCCCCCGCTGCACTTCAGGAAGGGGCACCTCTTTCATTGGTGGTCAGTGAGAGGAGCACAGTATGTGGCGGCCCTCCAACAGTCTAAGGGACAGTGAACTGGCCCCCTGTGTAAAAAGTTTGGGGATGCCTGCTCTATACCCTCTGTCTCTCAGCAGCCACAGTGATCTTAACAGCTATATAAGCAGCTCACATCCTGTCCCTGACAAAAACTCTCCGATGGCTCCTACAATAAGCGCCAAACTCCTCACTGTGGCCTATGAGATGCGGCATGATGTGCCCACCTCCCCAGCCTCATCTCCTCCCTTCCTCCCCTTGGCACATTTTGTTCCTCTCTGTTCCTCAAACACTCCAAGCCCACTCCTGTCTTGGAGCCCTTGCTCTTCCTGTTCCCTCTGCCTAGAATGTTCTTCCCCAAAACCACTGCATGCCTGACTCCTTCTCACCATTCATGTCACAGCTCAAATCACCTTTTTCACCTCAGCAAAATCTGCCTAGACTGCTAGGAGTAAAGGACCTCATAGACCAGCTCTCCAGGATCCGTCCTAAACCACCCTGCTTTCCCTCCACCCCAGCCTTGGGCAGTGAGAGCTTTGTTTCTGAATGATCCATGTCACCCACACCTGCCATTGGCACTAAACTCCAGGGCAGGAGCCTTGTCTACCTTGTTTGTGGGGCCATCTCAGCCTTTTGCCCAGGCCTATATACAATAGGCGTTTTTATGTGTTGAATGAAGAGGCTGTGTCCTCCTCCACCTACCCTGCCTCTCCCACTTCATCCTAAGAGGTGCCTTCTCATGCCTCCCTGAACCCCGTGCTCTCCAGCTCTGCCCTCACGGTCACTGGAGCCCCCTGAAGAACCCATGCAGACGCGGCTGCACCGCCTCATCAACCCCAGCTTCTATGGCTATCAGGACGCCCCCTGGAGGATCTTCCTGCGAAAAGAGGTGCGGAGCATGGCCAGAGCCAGGGGAGGGGCTGAAGGCAGCAGAGGAGGGTCCAGGAGGACCGAAGAGGGCCAGGCTGAAGCCAGGAATGGAGTCAGAGCTGGGGCAGAGCTGCACCTAGAAGGCAGGGCCGGGTGTGAGGGGGCAGTCGGAAGGTACCCACTGAAGCCCCGCCCCTACAGGTGTTTTACCCCAAGGACAGCTACAGCCATCCTGTGCAGCTTGACCTCCTGTTCCGGCAGGTGAGGTCCTCTGTCTCCTTTCCGCCTCAGTGAAATCAGCATGGCAGTATGAATGCAAAGATAGGCTAGCGGCAAAGCCTGACTCTGCATGCTAGGATTTGGGGTCCTTGACTGGGGTCAGGACGGGCAGCTGTTTTATTGAATCTCCCCCCTCCCATGGGCAGGGTCAGTAAGCCCACAGTTCAACCTAATCAGAGCTGTAGTTTGTCTGAGCTAGACATGGCCCAGAAGTCAACTGCAAACCCCTGTATAGATTAGGAAACTGAGGCCTAGGAAGGGTGACCTGGATTGTGGGGGTGAGGAGGAAGGAGAGGGTCCCTGAAGGAGAATCTGATTTACACAGATGACCCAGCCTATAGATGACCCCACTGCTGCAAAATGGGACCCCCCCCACCACCGCACATTGTCAGCCTGGATTCCAGCCGGGTGAGTCCCATGCATCGCCTGCATCACAGCCTGTTCCCACAGATCCTGCACGATACGCTGTCCGAAGCTTGCCTGCGCATCTCTGAGGATGAGAGACTCAAGATGAAGGCTCTGTTTGGTATCTCGGGGGAGGGGAAGGGTATTGATGGAGCAACCAGCCAGAGGCACAGCCAGCCCTGTCCCAGAGGGAGACTGAGGCTGACAAGCTCAGCCCCACTATCTCCCAGACATGCACCTCCTGCTCTGCTTCTGGCCTATCCTGTGGCCTGACTGCATGTTTGGGGTTGGCAATGCCTGACACACTGTGTGTCCTCGCCATCTCGTCCATTTCTGAGTTTCCATTCCCCAGTATAGACGCTGGTTAGATGCCTTCTTGCTAGGTATCAGCCACCTCCCTCCCTGACATCCCTGAGATGGGGGCTGGCAGAGGAGAGGGGAGAGGGTCCTGACCAGACCTGGCCTCCCATAGCCCAGAACCAGCTGGACACACAGAGGCCTCTGGTAACGGAGAGCGTGAAGCGGGCTGTGGTCAGCGCTGCACGAGACACCTGGGAGGTCTACTTCTCCCGCCTCTTCCCTGCCACGGTGCGAGCCCCTCACCTGCCCCCTACCTGCCCAGAGGATTCAGGGATGAGGCGAGAGGACCCTCACATGCCCTTCATCCCTGCCCCAGGGCAGCGTAGGCACTGGAGTGCAGCTCCTAGCTGTGTCCCACATGGGCATCAAACTCCTGAGGATGGTCAAGGGTGGCCAGGAGGCCAGCAGGCAGCTGCGGGTCCTGCGTGCATACAGGTGACTGGCAGGGGGGAAGTGGGGCTGGCTGGAGACTGGGGTACAGACTGGCATCAGCATTTCCTTCCTCTACAAACCACTTGCCAAGTACCCATGATACACCAGGCTCTTTGCCAAGCCATTGAAGCAAACCCATTTTAGAGCTGGGAAAATTGAGGCTCAGAGAGAGAAGTTGTTTGACTCAGGTCACACAGCCAGGAAGGGGTTGAGCTATGCACCCACTACCCTGCCCTCCTTCCAGCCCCTACAGCAGCAGCACTGTGCAGAGGGGCGACTGTGCTGGAAACGACCAAACCCTGATGCAGCTGGGGAGGGAACCACTGGCAGCCATGACACCTTACTGAGTCCTCAGACTCCTTCCCCTGCTAGAAGTCCCTTTTGTCCTTTATAACCTGAGGATGGGAATAGAAACTTGCTCACAGGTTGGGTAAAGGCTCCTTGCTTTGAAAGATGGAGAGAATTTGGTCAGTGGGTGAAAGAGAGATTTGAGTAGGCAGAAATCTAGATTTAGAGCTTGGACCAAGGGACAGAGAGTGGAGAGGGGTCAGATTGTTGTCCCAAAGAGTGGTAGGAACTGAGCTGAAGCCACAACCTGGGTCAGAGACGGGAAGCGGCAAGTTCCTAGAGTCCTGTGGGAGCTGGCACAATGGGGCCAAGGTGGGACTGGACTTCAAATGGGGCAGGACAGGAGCAGAAGCAGCACAATAGGTAGAATGAGGGCATCTTTCTGGCAGTGGAGTCCTGCCCTCATGCCACCAGCCCATCCTCCAGCTTTGCAGATATCCTGTTTGTGACAATGCCCTCGCAGAATATGCTGGAGTTCAACTTGGCCAGTGAGAAGGTCATCCTCTTCTCAGCCCGAGCTCACCAGGTCAAGACCCTGGTGGATGACTTCATCCTGGAGCTGAAGAAGGTCAGGACCTTCCCACAGATCTTCCCCCAACCCAGGCTGAGGGCCCAGCAACAGGGCTCTCCCACCCCACATATATACTAGCCCCACCTGCCTGGGAAGTATGACTGTGTCCATAGACTTCTGTCTACCTTCAGACCTTTGCACTGGCTGTGCCTTCCACTTGGAATACCCTTTGCCTGCTCCTTCAGAAAACCTTTGCCAATGCCTGCTGCTGGCCAGTGCCCCCTCCCAAGGGCACAGTACCTCCTCTGAACTCTGCAGCAACTGTACTCCTCATCCTCCTGCCCTGGCTGCATGGCCTGCCCACTGCATCTCAGTCTCTTTCCATCCCCTCTGCCCACTCCTGTCTGGCAGCCGCTAGGCCTAGGGCAGGTTATCTCTGTGCCCCAGGCCTGAGGAAGGCTTTAGCAGGAAGGTCAGTGAGGTATTGAGTGGGGAAGGCCTATGCATGTGCCCTAAAGTCCATGTGTGTCCCTCAGACTCAGCCTCCAACCCTTTCTTCCACCCAGAATGCCCTTACCCCTTCTCACCTAATGAGGGCTCCCTGATGAGTCAGGAAGGATGTGAGGAACAGGGGTTGCCCTTGGCCTCTGGGAGTGGGGTGATGGGGCTGTTGCCCTCACCCTGCCCCTGGCTGACCCAGGACTCTGACTATGTGGTCGCTGTGAGGAGCTTCCTGCCTGAGGACCCGGCGCTGCTGGCTTTCCACAAGGGTGACATCATCCACCTGCAGCCTCTAGAACCTCCTCAAGTGGGTCAGTGCCACTGGGGTGGGCTGGGTGTGGGAGGGGGAGGCTGGCCAAGGGAGCCTCCCTGGGAGATGCTGACCCGAGCCTGGCCCACAGGCTACAGTGCCGGCTGTGTGGTCCGCAAGAAGGTGGTGTACCTGGAGGAGCTGCGGCGTACAGGTCCTGACTTTGGTGGGTGCGCCAGAACCTGGAAATCTCATACAGGGTGCATCCTAGTTTCACACACTCATGCTGAGATGCACAGTGAGGGTTTCTTGGTGCCTGAAAGTGGTCTGGGCTGGCCAGGTTTCCAAAATCCAGGCATGGCCTGTCAGTGTCTGTTGGTAGACAGAGCCCTCTGCTCTGCCTGTATATGTGGCTGACGGGTCTCCGTGGGCGTTTCTGTGTTTGTGGCCCAAGTCTCTCTTTGTGTCTCCACATGACCAGAGAGTCCACAAACCCTGCTTTGCTTTTTGCTTTACTTCCCCGTTATGGTCCTGTGGCCCTAAGATCCCTTTCCTTCCCCGAGCCTGTTTCCTCATCTGTAAATGGGTTCAATGGCCTGGACTGCTTCACAGAGTTCTAGAGAGGGGTTAAGAAGGTACCCAAGTCCCCCTAAAGGAACCCTTTAGTCGCAAGACAAGACCCTCCAGTTTGCCTTAGACCTTTTACCTGCCCCTAGGCTGGAGGTTCGGGACCATCCATGGACGTGTGGGCCGCTTCCCTTCAGAGCTGGTGCAGCCCGCTGCTGCCCCTGACTTCCTGCAGCTGCCAGCAGAGCCGGGCAGTGGCCGAGCAGCCGCTGTGGCCGCTGCTGTGGCCTCTGCAGCCGCTGCACAGGAGGTGGGCCGCAGGAGAAAGGTGAGTCTAGTGTGGGTGGCGTGGGGCGGGGTAGACTAAGCGGAAGGGGTGAGGCTAGTGGGAATAAGGTAGGCCAAGGGCGTGGCCAGGCTCTTGGGGCGTGGCCGGTCTTGGACTAGGGTGAACCTGGTATAGAGTGAGCTGCAGGTGAGACCCAGGAGATGGGTCCAGAGATGGCTGGAGGTGTGGTCAAATCGGGTAGGGAAGGGTGAGGATCAGCTGGTTGTAATCAGGGCAGTGGGGTCAGACCAGCCTGGGCCCGCCAGTAGGTCAAGTCTGGGATGGGGTGAGGCCAGGTGAGTGGGTGGGGTCGGGCTTGTGGAGCTAGCGAGGGGTGGGATCAGCTGTGACAAGGCAGCTGGGGAAGTCAAACCTGGGCAAGGGCGTGGCCAAGTGGGGCGGGGAGTGGGGTTAGCCCTGCAAGTAAAAGACGTGGGCGGGCTGAAGGGGTGAGGCCAATGGGATGCGGGAGGCTTCAGATAGATGGGTGGGCGAGTCCAGATGGATGGGTGGTCGGGCTGCTTGAGAATCTGGGCCCAGTCCGCGAGGGGTTGCGTTGTGTTTTGACCGAAGGGCTACTCGTGGTGTGGCCGGGCAGGGCCTTCCTAGCTCCACCTCTTCTGCAGGGTCCCCCAGTCAGGGCCCGCTCTGCTGACCATGGGGAGGAAGCCCTGGCTCTCCCACCCTACACAATGCTCGAGTTTGCCCAGAAGTATTTCCGAGATCCTCAGAGGAGACCCCAGTGAGTGGTGGCCCCACCCTTCTTTCCCACACTGGAAAGGTTCTGGGCTTCTTGCAACTGTCCAAACTGGAGGCTATCGGTCTGGGAGGCCCCACTTCTGGTGTGAGAGATGAGAGACTACCCAGGTGTGAGGCCCACTTCAGTGCCTACCCCTGGGAGTCTCCCTGTCTGGTAGACTGATCAGAATGGTGGGTCAAGAACATTCCCTTGTGGAAAAGCATGTAGCCAAGGCTTGGGCAGGCCAGGTCAGTAGCACCCACCTCCCACTGCAGGGATGGCCTCAGGCTGAAATCCAAGGAAGATCGGGAGTCCAGAACCTTGGAGGACATGCTTTGCTTCACCAAGGTGTCCAGTCTCAGACCTCAGTTTTCCCATCTGTAAAATGTTGATACAAGGGCCCCCTCCCAGGACCCTGGGGTGAATAAACTTGTTCTCAGTGAGACCCTCTAGCTCACAGTGCCCTGATTGCCTCTCAAGGACAGTATGTGTCCCCAGTGTTGGGCCTGGCTCCCCTTTTGTGACATGGACCCTCCTGTTATCATACGGCCTTGAAACACAATGTGTCCCATCTCTGTTCTGACATGTCCCTCCTCCATCGTGACACAGCCTTCTTTCCCTACAGACCCCTCTCCAGGAATCCCTTATCGAACTCAGTGACAGCAGCCTCAACAAGATGGCCACCGACATGTTCCTAGGTGTGGGGGTGGGACTGCAGCCAGGGCTCTGGGCCAGGTGGGATCCAGCACTGTGTGATGTCTACTGGTCACCACTCCTCCCTGGTCTTCGGATTCTTTCCCTCCCCACAACTCAAACATGGGACACATTTAAGAGAATAGAAGCCCCCAGCTGCCTGTGGCCAAGGCTCCCAGGGAGGGGCTCAGCCCTGGGGCTTCCTGGGGTGGGTGAGCAACTGGGGGTTTGGTGGGTCTCAATGGGATGGGTCTTTCCTTCAGCTGTGATGAGGTTCATGGGGGATGCCCCACTGAAGGGCCAGAGTGACCTGGACGTGCTTTGTAACCTCCTAAAGGTCAGTTCAGCCAACTTTACCAGATGCCTCCTTTCTTGCTCTGTGGCTCAGTTTCCCATCTGTCAATGAGTCACAGGACATTAGGGTGGGAAGTCTTTCCCATGGCCCAAAGAGGAATGTATCATGCTGGTTGGGGGGGGTTGGGAAAGGGACACCAGGCCTGTCTCCAGGTGCCCACCCTGTTCTTATGTACCGGTATGTGACATAGCCCTTAATATGTCTTTGATGTGTGACCTCTCTGGCCTCCTTCAGCTGTGTGGGGACCATGAGGTCATGCGGGATGAGTGTTACTGCCAAGTTGTGAAGCAGATCACCGACAATACCAGCTCCAAGCAGTGAGTGAACTGGGCTTTACCCCACCATTCCCCCACTGTGTCCATGCTCCAGGAGGGGCCAGTTCGGCTCCCACCTCCCCAGGGTTGACCCCTCCTGGATTCTCTTCCCCTCACCCTCTTCCTCACTCAATACAGCACATTTTTGGAATTACTTGGTCTGGAACACACAATTTCTGCTGTCTAAACTTTAGTGCCTTTATCTGTAAAATGGCAGTGATAATGTATAAGTCCAGATTCTTAGTTGCAAGTGACAGAAACCCAACTGAAGCTGGTTTAAGCAAGAGGGAACTTATTGATTCAGAGAAGTGAAAAGTCAATGAGTATGTGGCTTCAGGCATAGCTGGATCCAGGTCATTAGAAAGCAGGCTTTTTCCATCTTCTGGCTCTGCTTTCCTCTGTGTTGATCATTCCCAAACAGCCTCTCCCACAGAGTAGCAAGGTGGCAGTTCTGGGGCAACAGCTCAGCAATCCCAGACAAAGCAAAACTGACCCAATATTCGCAGCAGAAATTCTCAAATCCAGCCTTACAGGCCTGAATTGGTGACAAGCTCAACCCTGAACCAATCATAAAGGCTGGAGGATACAGAGTAGTGATTGGTTAGATCTAGGTCATATGTATGTCCTAAAACCAATCACCAAAGCCAGAAGGAGGCTGAACTCTTATTGGCCAGTCTTGGGTCATATACCTATCCCTAGGCCAATCACTGTGGCCAGAGGTTGCAGTGTCCTCATTAACCAAACCTGACTTCCTTGCCCATCTCCAAACCACAGGGATCCAGAGAAGGGTGGGTGGTTTCCCAAAGGAAGCCCAAGTGTTGTTTCGAGACACCAGATATCCCTACAAATGAAAGCCTCACACCCAGGACCATGTGAAGGTGAATTGCTGTGTTCCACTCATGCAGGGTCAGCACACAGTAGGTGCCCAATGTGTGCGTGCTCTTGTTACTATCAGGCCTGTTCCTGTCTCCATCTGCACTACCTCCTCACTTGCTCTCCATCTCCTCAGAAATTTTAGAATCACTCAGCTTGTCCTCCTGCTCCTCCCAGCCCTGGGCCTTACCTGCCGTGAACTCTTCACAGTCTCAGCAGGTTCACCTTTTCCCAGAAGACTTCCCAGAGAGATCCCCCACCTGTTGTGAGGCAGAAAAGAGAATAATAGGAGGAGAAAGCGTCACAGTACTTCCCCTACTTGGGGAAGATGTCTGGGGTCCCATCCTCTTCCTTCCCTTTCCCCCATCTTGACTTCCCAAGCAGCATATGCCTTCTGCATGGCTTCAACGCCAACCTGCTCTGGGCCTCTTCACTGAGCAGGGAGAAGCATCTTCAGGAGACAGGAGCTGCCTAAGAGTTGGAATCTTCATCAGCTCAATCCCAGGAGGGATATCCCAGGAGGCTCTTGGCACACTCTAGTACTATGACTGCCTGTGACATGGCTCCCATGTGTCCTTGCAGGGACAGCTGCCAGCGAGGCTGGAGGCTGCTGTACATCGTGACTGCCTACCACAGCTGCTCCGAGGTCCTCCACCCACACCTCACTCGCTTCCTCCAAGACATGAGCCGGACCCCCGGCCTGCCCTTTCAAGGTTAGAGGTCAATGAGTGGGGACCCAGGGCTGCATGCTTCTACCATGGGTACCAGATGGGCAGCTGGTGGGAGGGGAAACCCAGAGGGCCTCACTCTTTACAGGTGCTAAGCAATGTTTACTAATACTAATTTACTCCCCAAACATTTGTGAAGGTTTCACAGGGGTTGGTGTGGTGGTTTGTCTGATCTACTGGAGGGGGTAGTCGGGAAAGACTCCTTAGAACAAGTGTTGCCCTGGGTAGGAGGGATTTCCATGTGGAGTGAGTGACAAGAGCAAAGACCAGGGTGGGAATGTGTGGAATGTGGGAGAATCCAGAGTACTTGGGTGCGGCCCTGCTTCGCTGACTGTTGGGACTTGGCAAGGGTCTTGAGGGATCTGGGCAGGGGTGGGCCCAAGCTGGTATCATCCATCTTAGAATATGGAGAAAGCCCGGGGCAGTGGCTCACCCCTGTAATCCCAGCACTTTGAGAGGCCAAGGCAGATGGATCATGAGGTCAGGAATTTGAGACCAGCCTGACCAACACAGTGAAATCGCACTGCTACCAAAAATACCAAAAAAAGTAGCCAGGCATGGTGGTGGGTGCTTACAATCCCAGCTTCTCAGAAGGTTGAGGCAGGAGAATTGCTTGAACCTGAGAGGCAGAAGTTGCCAAGATTGCACCACTGCACTCCAGCAGTGCAAGCCTCCATCTCAAATTAAAAAAAAGAATATGGAGAAAGTGGGGGCCACTCTTCAGCGTTGTTTCCATAGCAATCCCTGGGGCTTCCAAAGTAGAAGGCTGGGGCCCCTGTAGTCACCATGGCAGCCATGGAGGAGATAGGAGACCTTACCCTTCCTGCCTCTGAATCTTTCTCTCTGATTCACTTAACAAATAGGCCTAGACCCACACATGAATAGACCCAGCTCCCCATGGAAGGGCTCCCAGATGCATGAAGGCAGCAGAATGTGCCCTAGAACTCTTGACTCAGAGAAATGGAGCATTGATGCTGGGATCTCCTGCACTAGGAGGCCTGGGTGAGGGAGAGCAGTTGGCAGGGTATCCCAGCTGGCAGGGGCAGAGCTGCATCACCCTAGCCACAGAGCCTATTGGCTACAAGCTTCCCAGTCAGCAGCTCGGGATGACAGCAGTTTACAGGCTCATAGGTTGCCAAGGGGACTATGGGCTAGACCATGTGGGATATGAGTTCAAATCTAGCTCTTAACCTCTAGCTCTTGACCTTGCTGTCCCTGTCTGAACTGTTTGCTCAACTGTCAAATGGGGGAGTAAATGTCTGCCCCATAGCTTGTGGAGAGAATACAGTGGGCTCATGGTTGCTGGCAAGAGGAGCCCCTTTCTCCCACTGCCCACCTTTGGCAAGGCCTGGACTTCCTGCTTCTGCAGGGATTGCCAAGGCCTGTGAGCAGAACCTGCAGAAAACCTTGCGCTTCGGGGGTCGTCTGGAGCTCCCCAGCAGCATAGAGCTTCGGGCTATGTTGGTAAGCATGGGGTAGAAGTAGGTTCAAATTGAATGGGAAGCTGGGCACAGTGGCTCACACCTGTAATTCCAGCATTTTGGAAGGCTGAGGCAGGCAAATCACCTGAGGTCAGGAGTGCAAGAGCAGTCTGGCCAACATGGCAAAACTCTATCTCTACTAAAAATACAAAAATTAGCCGGGCATGGTGGCAAGCACCTGTAATCCCAGCTACTCAGGAGGCTAAGACAGGAGAATTGCTTGAACCCAGGGGGCAGAGGTTGCCATGAGCCAAGATCACACCGCTGCATCCCAGCCTCGGTGACAGATCAAGACTCCATGTCAAAAAACAAAAATGAATGGATAGGAGAGACAGCCCTGCCCAGAGACCTCTGTGTCGGGTGCATTGCACTCAGGGTCATGCAGACAGGCCCTGCAAGGCCCAGGTGCTCAAGTGTTCCTACACATGCAAGCCCAGGACACTTTGGCTTGGGAACTCCTAGGGCAGGGGACAAGGGCCACTCAGATCTCAGGACTCAACCTGTCACCCCTCTCCCACCTGCCCACCCCCAGGCAGGCCGCAGTTCCAAGAGGCAACTCTTTCTTCTTCCTGGAGGCCTTGAACGCCATCTCAAAATCAAAACGTGCACTGTAAGTGAAGGAATGTCTTCTGCAGTCAGGTACTGGAGGGGCAGGAACAAGAACAGCCCAGGCTCCAGGATGGGGATGGAGTAAGCCCCCAAGGCTGCTGAACCCTCCCAGGCTCTCAAACAGTCCCACAAGGCAGGACTTATTTCTCAGAAGAGCAAACTGCGCCTCGGAGAGGTTAGGCCTCTGGCTCAGGTCATCCTGCAGAAAAGGGACGGAAGCAGATTTTGAACCTAAGTCTCAGACCACACGCTGTGTTCTTTCCCTGCCTGAGGCTGATTTTCAGAGACCTCAGAGGATTGTGCACCTCTGTGAAGAGGGCTGAGGAACTCCACACATGGCTTCTGGGGCTTGAGTGGGGCCAGAGGACAGAGGTGAATCCTAACTGACATGGCCTCATCCCTTCCACTCCCACCCCCACCCCCAGGTGGCCCTGGACGTAATAGAAGAGATCTGTGCTGAGATGGCTCTGACACGCCCCGAGGCCTTTAATGAATATGTTATCTTCGTTGTCACCAACCGTGGTGAGTGCCAGAAAGACTGAGCATGCTGGGCTCATTCTTATCCCCCGGCCTTGGGCCATGTGGGGCCTCCACCCAGACTTTAGGGCCCAAGTCAGGTGCCACTTCCAGGAAGCCCCTTGACCCCTGTGGGGAAGGATCTCTTTGTGTACCAAGCACCCCCAGCTCTTCATCTGTCCCTCTCTGCTTTGCTTATTTTGCCTCACTTTGTGGTGAGGGCCCTCTCTCATCTCTCCCTTTGCCCCTCAGGGCATGCTCAATGGGAGGACATAGGCTGTGCCCTCGAGGAGATTGCATCCTGGGAAGGTTTCCATTAGTAGCCCCACACTCCTGGAACCTAAAGGTGCAAGCCTTCTTTCCTGCCTCGCATGCCTTATAATGGCCAGAGGAGCCACTCCTGAGATGTCACTGAGTCCCTCTCAAGGGCTCCTGGGACCATAGGTGACCGTCATGTATCCCAAAGTCCCTCCCATCTACTGCCTGCCCTAGGGTCTAGATCATGGTCTTGCCTCCTGTCACCAGCTGGTCAGCTCCAGCAATCCCCAGCCAGCCCTCCCTACCACTGCCTCAGCCCTCAGCCATGTGCTGTCAGCCCTGCCTGCCCACCCAAGTCCAGCTAAGACATTAGTGGAGAATGGCAGGTAACAAAACAGTCCTAATAACTGACGTTTATTGAACAGATGCTGTGCCCCAGGCATAATTCAAAGCATTTCAGGCCAGGTATGGTGGCTCATGCCTGTAATCTCAGCACTTTGGGAGGCTGAGGCGGGTGGATCACTGGAGGCCAGGAGTTCAAAAGCAGCCTGGCCAACATGGCAAAACCCATCTCTACTAAAAATGAGCCAAGCATGGCAGTGCGCACCTGTAATTCCAGCTACTCGGGAGACTGAGGCATGATAATCACTTGAACCCAGAAGGCGGAGGTTGCAGTGAGCCATCATCATGCCACTGCACTCCAGCCTGGGTGATGGAGTGGGATTCTGTCTCAAAAAAGAAAAAAAAAACAGCATTTCATTCTGTGAACTCTTTTAATCCCCACAACAACCTTATGAAGTGAAGGCTGTTAGCCTTCCCATTTACAGATGGGGAAACTGAGGCCCAGGGAGGCTGTATTAGTTTCCTATTGCTGCTATAACAGATTATCACAAATTTAGTGGCTTAAAAAAACACAAATATATTACCTTAAAATTCTGAAAGTCAGAAGTTCTAAAATGAAAATAGCATCAGGGCCAGGTTCCTTCTGGAGGCTCTAGGGAAGAATCTGTTTCCTTTCCTTTTCCAGCTTCTAGAGGCCACCCGCATTCCTTGGCTCATGGCCCCTTCCTCCACCTCCAAAGCCAGCAGCATAGAATCCTTAAATCTCTCTCCCCACCAGCCTCTGCTTCTGGTCTCACATCTCCTCCTCTGACTCTGACCCTTCTGCTTTCCTCTTATGAGGATCCCTCTGCTGATGTTGGGCCTGCTTGCATAATCCAGGATCATCTTCATTTCCAGATCCTTAACTTAATCACATCTGCAGAGTGCCTTTTGCCAAGAAGGTGACATATTCACAAGTTCTAGGGGTTAGGACCTGGACATCTTTGGAGGGGTCATTATTCCGCCTGTCACAGAAGTTGTGACTTACCCACAGTCACATAGTGGTAATCATATAATCATACCAAACTCCCTTTGTTTAGTAAGATTTTATCGCAGGTGTGAGATGGGTGGCAGAAATGTCAATGAAAGAGAGAAAAACTTGAGCCTCACAGGCTCAGACCCCAATCCTCCCCACCCCCACCTATGCCAGGGGGTCTCTCCTGAAGGAGGTCTGCAGAAAGGTACCCAGGGGGTCTCATGGTCTGAAGCCTCTTTTGTTTGTGTTTGTCCCAAGCCTCCTCTGGAAAGGATACAGGCCATAATACAGGCCACCTTCCCATCCAGGCAGGCCACCCTTGGGGCACTCTTCAGCAGCTCCTCTTTACCCAGGAGAAATGGAGCATTACTTATAGCTTTGAATTGGAGTGATTCCCGTCTGTGGTCATGAACATTTCAATAAAACATAGGGCACCCCATTCAACACATACATTTTCCTTTAACAAGGAAGCTGTGTCCCAGAGCAGGTAGATAATTTGCCTGAGGTGATACCTCACCTGGGTAGCAGGTTGGGGTCTGCACACATGCTCTGTACAGGTACACACGTGTGTGCACACATGTCCCCACCCAGTCCTGCCTCCCTGCTCTCTGCAGGCCAGCATGTGTGCCCACTCAGTCGCCGTGCTTACATCCTGGACGTGGCCTCCGAGATGGAGCAAGTGGATGGCGGCTACATGCTCTGGTTCCGGCGTGTGCTCTGGGATCAGCCACTCAAGTTCGAGAATGAGCTGTATGTGACCATGCACTACAACCAGGTCAGCACACATGGGCTTCTCTGGACTCTGGGACCTTCTAGTCTCCCCGGGCCTGTGAGTCAGACTCCACAACCTTGGTATTTGATGATTCAGGCCCTGTGGACCTCTCTAACCCTGAGGCCTCTGCTCCCCTATGTGGTCTCTTGGAAGAAGTCGAAACAGCCCTCACTACCTTTGAGGGCCTTTGCACATGCCATCCCTCCATCTGGACTTCCCAGCTTATCTAATTCCTCTCCAGCAAGCTGCCTCCAAACAGCACCTCTTCCATTAGGCCCTCTTTGAGGTCTGCTTTCCTTCCGATTTCTTCTTCTGAACATGGGCCTGTCCTTTGTTTTATGTGCTAAGCCAGGCTTTGCTGATATTGTCACTTTTGTCTGTGTGTTATTCTACTCTGAGACTTGGAAGTCCTCTAAGTCAGGATCATGGAGTTTACAAAGTCTGGGTTCTCCCCTACTGTGCCAGTATATTTGGAAGTGCTTGGACAGAAAGTGTGTATTTTTGTGGAACTGGTGCCAAAACTTCAGGAATTGTACACAATATGGTCACATAGCTTTTGCGGCCACATGGTGTCACTGTTGAAGCATAGCCCTATGCAGTCCAGCACCACGCTACTCAATGTGAAGCCTGTGGACTGGTGAAAACGGGATGCAAATCCTCAAGTCCCGCCTCAAACCTCCTGGCTCAGAGCTTCTGGGGCACAGCCTGGACGTCTATTTTGGCAAGCCCTCCTGTGACTCAGGCACACTCAATTTTGAGAAACATCAGGCCTGATAGATACTCGTGCACACTGCAGTGTTGATTCTCTGATCTGACCAGCCAGCCCACATCCTGGCAAGGTTGCTGTGGGGACTCCTTCATAGGCATCAAGGCCATTGTCTTCCCATATCACCATTATCTGTTTCTGCCATCATTCTCCAAAACCCAGGAAAGTAACACGCCATCCTACCCCAGAAGAGGATGGGGCTGCAGTCATTAAACTTGCATGTCCCCAGGCCCCCTGCAGCTGGGTGACTACACGCATGCCTGCCTGGCAGCCCCTCACCCAGGTGCTCCCTGCAGGTCCTGCCTGACTACCTGAAGGGCCTCTTCAGCAGCATGCCAGCCAGCCGGCCCAGCGAGCAGCTGTTGCAGCAGGTGTCCAAGCTGGCTTCACTGCAGCACCGCGCCAAGGACCACTTCTACCTGCCGAGTGTGTGAGCACCTGCTCAGCTAGGGTGGATAGGCAACCCTGCCCTTTCAGCCCACCTCCACCCTCCTCAGAGCTGGCTGTCCCCAGGCCCCCAGGCTCCCCTCTTGTACCAGTGGGGCTGTCTGGGAAGGGGCTGTCCTTGCCTGGGGGTTGAAGTCTCCACCTACCTATAGGAGCTGGGACCCCACCTCTCTCTCACAAGTTGCTTCTGGTTGGTATTATTGACTCAGGCCAAAGGGAATAATTAAAAAAAAAAAAAAAAAAAAAAAAAAAGCTTTCAGGGCCAGGCTCGGTGGCTGACGCCTGTAATCCCAGCACTTTGGGAGGCAGAGGTAGGTGGATCGCCTGAGGTTAGGAGTTTGAGATTAGCCTAACCAACATAGTGAAACCCTGTCTCTACTAAAAATACAAAAAATTAACTGGGCATGGTAGCGGGTGCCTGTAATCCCAGCTACTTGGGAGGCTGAGGCAGGAGAATCACTTGAGCCCGGGAGGCAGAGGTTGCGATGAGCCGAAACTGCGCCATTGCACTCCAGCCTAGGCAATAAGAGCGAGACTCTGTCTCAAAAAAAAAAGAAAAGAAAAGAAAAAAAAAGCTTCCAGGACACACGTTCCCTGTGGTTCAGGAAACACATGTGGCTATACAGAAAGATTAGCCACAAAAGCATTCACTGCAATGCTGCTCCAACAGCAGAATATCAGAAGTAACCTCAATATCCAACAACAAGGAGTCATCAAGTAAATTGTGGGTGTTAGCCTTTATTTACTTATGTATTTAATTAATTTTTTATTTCTTTCTTTAAAAAAAAAGATGGGCCGGGTGCGGTGGCTCAAGCCTGTAATCCCAGCACTTTGGGAGGCCGAGGCGGGTGGATCACGAGGTCAAGAGATCGAGACCATCCTGGTCAACATGGTGAAACCCCGTCTCTACTAAAAATACAAAACATTAGCTGGGCATGGTGGCACGTGCCTGTTATCCCAGCTATTCAGGAGGCTGAGGCAGGAGAATCGCCTGAACCCAGGAGGCGGAGGTTGCGGTGAGCCGAGATTGCGCCATTGCACTCCAGCCTGGGTAACAAGAGTGAAACTCCATCTCAAAAAAAAAAAAAGATGTACCACTTTTTATAGTGACCAGGGTCTTGCTCTGTTGCCCAGGCTGAACTTTCTTTTATGATTACGTTCCTCAGGCTGGTCTTGAACTCCTGGGCTCAAGCAACCCTCCTGCCTCAGCCTCCCAAAGCAGTGGGATTACAAGAATGAGCCACCCTGCCCAGCCTAGACAGCATTTAAACTGATGTTCTCAAAGATATAATGAATGCTCACAGTCATTCTCAAATTTTTGATCTCAGGATCTTTTTACACTCTTGAAAAGAGGACCTGGGCCGGGCACAGTGGCTCACACCAGTAATCCCAGTACTTTGGGAGGCTGAGGTGGGCAGATCACCTGAGGTCAGGAGTTTGAGACCAGCCTGGCCAACGTGGTGAAACCCTGTCTCTATAAAAATGCAAAAAAAAAAAAAAAAAAAAAAAAAAATTAGCCAGGTATAGTGGTGGACACCTGTAATCCCAGCTACTTGGGAGTCTGAAGCAGGAGACTGGCTTGAACCTGGGAGGTGGAGGTTGCAGTGAGCCGAGATTGTGCCACTGCACTCCAGCCTATGTGACAAGCGTGAAACTCTATCTCAAAATAATAATAATAACAATAATAGTAGGACCTCATGGCGGAGCGCAGTGGCTCACACCTCTAATCCCAGCACTCTGGGAGGCCAAGGCGGGTGGATCACCTAAGGTCAAGAGTTTGAGACCAGCCTGGCCAACATGGTGAAACCGTATCTCTACTAAAAATACAAAAATTTAAAATTATAAAATACAAAAATACTCCAAGTGCACACCACACCCAGCTAATTTTTTGTATTTCTCTAAGTAGAGATGGGGTTTCACCATGTTGCTCAGGATGGTCTTGATCTCTTGACCTTGTGAGCTGCCCACTTCGGCCTCCCAAAGTGCTAGGATTACAAGCATGAGCCACCACGCCCAGTGAAAATGGTTTTTAACCCCCTAAACAACACTTTGAGAACCCCTGGAAAAAAGAATAGTAAAATGATGTCTGTACCATGTATATCCCAGTACCTATAACACAATAAGGGCTCAATATGTAAAGCTCCTTATTTTTATTTAATTTTTTTATTTCTTTTGAGACAGGGTCTCTCTCTGTCACTCAAGCTGGAGTTCAGTGGCCCAATCACAGCTCACTGCAGCCTTGACCTCTTGGGCTCTAGTGATCCTCCCACCTCAGCCTCCCAAGTAGCTGGAACCCACAAGCACATGCCACAATGCCCAGTTAATTTTTAAATTTTTTGTAGAGACGGGTCTCACCATGTTCCCCAGGCTGGTCTTGAACTCTTGGGCTCAAGTTATCCTCCCTCTTTAGCCTCCCAGAGTCTTGAAATTATAGACATAAGCTGCTAAGCCTAGCCAAAAGCTGCTGCTGCTGCTGCTGCTTCTTTTTTTAATGTGTGATTTTAAGTGAAAAGAGCAGGAAGCACGTAAAGATAATGATCCCAATCCTGGATGAAAATCATTGAGTTCTTACTTTTTGCAAGGGACTCTACATATGCATTATCTCAGCTATTCTTCCCAACTGCACTTTATTTTCCCCATTTACAGAAAAGGCCCAGAGAGGTTATATGGCTTGCTGAAGTCTAGCCCGCTAATCATGGGTGAACCAGGATCCAAAACTGGGGAGGGTGGGTTCAGATGCCAGGCCCTTACCCCAGCAGTGCAAAAGAGGACAGATGTTGCCCAGGGGATCTCTTGGGAGGAGAGGGTTCCCCTGGCTTTCTCCCAACCCTTCCTTCATCTGCAGCTCCAGCTGGTCAAGATGGGCTGGGACAGCTATTGATATTTTCCAGATATCCCAAGAGGTAAAGGGACTGTCTGAGGTAGCCAGCATATGTCAGAGGGAAGATGGCTGGGGTGAGTTGATGCCCAGGGGCCCCAGCCTGGAGGCCCAGCACTCCTCTGCTCAAGTCTCTGCCCAGCCCTGCCCAAGGCTTTGCCCACCATGATGTTTCCTCTCACTCCTCTGGCTTTTGCTTCTCCTTGGAGGCAGGAGGTATGAAGGATGAAATAGCCTTGGGTTAGGCCAGGTGTGGTGGCTCACCACTGTAATCCTAACACTTTGGGAGGCTGGGGCGGGCAGATCACCTGAGGTCAGGAGTTCAAGACCAGCCTGACCAACATGGAGAAACCCTGTCTCTACCAAAAATACAAAAAATTAGCTGGGCATGGTGGCACATGCCTGTAATCCCAGCTACTCAGGAGGCTAAGGCAGGAGAATCACTTGAACCCAGGAGGCAGAAGTTGCAGTGAGCTGAGATCGCACCAGTACACTCTAGCCTGGACAATAAGAGCGAAACTCCATCTCAAAAAAAAAAGAAGGCCGGGCGCGGTGGCTCAAGCCTGTAATCCCAGCACTTTGGGAGGCCGAGGCGGGTGGATCACGAGGTCGAGAGATCGAGACCATCCTGGTCAACATGGTGAAACCCCGTCTCTACTAAAAATACTAAAAATTAGCTGGGCATGGTGGCGCGTGCCTGTAATCCCAGCTACTCAGGAGGCTGAGGCAGGAGAATTGCCTGAACCCAGGAGGCGGAGGTTGCGGTGAGCCAAGATCGCGCCATGGCACTCCAGCCTGGGTAACAAGAGCGAAACTCCGTCTCAAAAAAATTAAAAAAATTAAAAAAAAGAAAAAGAAATTGCCTTAGGTTCAAGTCTTGCTCCTGCCAACCGATGGCGCTAACTCACTCAGTCACTGTGTGACCTTATCTAGTCAGTGAACTTCTCAGAGCCTCAGTTACCTTAACTGCAAACAGGGATCCTAGTGGTACTGGCCCAGGCAGTGTTTAAACAGTACCAAGCCACTGTGGGTGCCTCTACCGCACCTTCAGCCCATTTACACTCCCCAACATAGAGTTACAGAGATCAGGTTTGCTCCTCATGCATGGTGCATGGTGAGGATTGCATGAGCCTGTGAGCTCACTCAGGACCTTTTCCCCTCCCTCCGTACATAGGCGAGAAGTCCAGGATTACATACCAGCTCAGCTCTACCGTACAACAGCAGGCTCAACCTGGCTCAACCTGGTCAGCCAGCACCGGCAGCAGACACAGGCACTCAGCCCCCACCAGGCTCGTGCCCAATTTCTGGGTAAAAGCTGCAGGGCAGGGGAGGTGATCATATGGGTCTTTGCTGAGGAGGGTGGTCATGGAGGGTGGGTATGGAGGCACCTCTTTTCTTTGCACAAAGGCATTTTTCAGTGCTGGCTAAACTGAGCACCTCCCTGGAGAAAACATGTTTTACAATTTTTATGGAGATGTCACCTAGGCTCAGAATGGCCCTGGGCAGAGGAAGAAGAGCTGCACACAGGGATAGAGGAAGAAGCAGTGAGAAGGGAGGCCAGAGATGGGTGGAGACCCAGACCGAGGACTCCTGCACTGGCTGAATACAGCCCAGAGAAGATGCAGGCCGCAGGCCAGCTGTGCAGTTCAGAGCCAGGGCTGTTGTCAGTGAGTCCTATGCAGCACGTAACTGCTGGCCCCTCTCCCTGCCCAGGTCTCCTCAGCGCCCTACCTATGTTTGGCTCCTCCTTCTTCTTCATCCAGAGCTGCAGCAACATCGCTGTGCCAGCCCCTTGCATCCTTGCCGTCAACCACAATGGCCTCAACTTTCTCAGCACAGAGACTCATGTGAGTGGCCTCAGCCTGGCCCTGTCATCACCACCCTCTGTTCCCTGGTCCCCTAACCCCTCCAAGGGGCCAAGACCTCCAGCTGCTGAAGCCCGGTTCCACTGCTTACCACTTGCATGATCTCAGGCAAGTCTCTTCCTCTCTTTAAGCCTTGCTTTCCTCATCTGGAAAATGAGGCTAAGAATTGAGCCCTACCCATAGGGCTGTTGTGAAGGTGACATGAGGTAAAACATACCCTAAGCACTCAAATAGTGCATCCGTGTGCTTGAGCTGCCATAACAAAAGACCACAGACTCAGTAGCTTCAACAACAGAAGTTTATTTCTCACAGTTCTGGAGGCTGGAGGTCCAAGGTCAAGGTGTCAGCAGGTTTGGTTTCTTTGATGGTTTGCAGACAGTGTCTTCTCACTGTGTCCTCACATGGCCTTTCCTCTGTGTGTGCACAACACTGGTATCTCTTTATGTATCCAAATTTCCTCTTATAAGGACATCTGTCATATTAGATGACTCCATTTTAACTTAATCACTCCTTTAAAGGCCTTATTTCTAAATACAGTCTGAAGCATTGGGAGTTAGGGCTTCAACATGGGGATTTGGTGGGGGACACAATTCAGCCCATAAGTAGGATCTGTTACCCCCTTAGCTTTTGCTCCCAGAACTAGACCCTGAGACCAGGATTCAAAGGCAAGTGGTTGATTTAGAGTTGATTACAGGAAACACTGGAGTGAGGAAGTCAGTCAGGGAAGGGATGGAGCCAGTAAAGGGCATGTTAGCAAGCAAGTTGCTGATGTGGGCACCTGGAGTTCAGTCCTGCGGGGGCCCCGAGAGATAGCCTAGAGCTTTCCTTCTCTCCTCGGGGAGAGGGAGCCAGAGTGTCTATTCAGCTTCCCATCTATCATTAGCAAGGCTTCTTTCTGAGACATTAACTCTCCATCACTCTGACTTTTTCTGTGTGTAATCCAAGTTTGCTTCCTGGGCCAGAAAAAAGCCCCTAGAAAGGCTAGACACATTGACTCACATCTGTAACCCTAGCACTTAGGGAAGCAGAGGCAGGAGGATTGCTTGAGCCCAGGAGTTTGAGACCTGCCTGGGCAACAAAGGAGGCCCTGTTCTCCACAAAAAGGAAGTTTTAAAAAGAGGTGCAGGTGTTCACAAGAAGCCACTTTGATGTGAAGTTCAGGGCACCAACAGCATCTACTAAGTGTATCCCAAGCACTTAAGACCAGTGCCTGGCACATGGTAGATGCATCATCAGTATTTGTTGAATCAGTTTCACAGGTGAGGAAAACTGAGGTCCAGAAAGGTAAAGTGACTTGCTCAAGGTCACACAAGTCACTGGGGAACATGTACTTGAACTGGAGTCTCCTGCCTCCTACTGATCTGATTTGCAGGTGAGGGGTAAGAGTGGTTGAGACTATCCCCACCCACAGGCCTGTCTGGCCCCTCTCCCTCTCCCCCTACTCACAGGAACTGATGGTGAAGTTCCCCCTGAAGGAGATCCAGTCAACGCAGACCCAGCGGCCCACAGCCAACTCCAGCTACCCCTACGTGGAGATTTCGCTGGGGGATGTGGTGACCCAGCGAACCTTGCAGCTGCAGCTGGAGCAGGTGGGCCCAGCCCTCACCCCAGCATTCCACTCACTGGGCTTTTCTCTGGATCTGGTCTGAAGACAGGTCAGGTCCCTGCCATGCTCCAGGGAATATCCAGGCCAGTGCATGAGACAGAACCAACCCCAGCACAGCACAGAACTGCAGGACATTATGGTGGTCATCCAGGGAAGCAACTTGGCAGTGGGAACACAGGAAAGGGCAGTACGGAGCCATAGAAGGTTGATGAGAGGACAAGGGCACCAGAGGTTTGAGAAGGTTCACCTGGGCTGAGATGTGGAGGCTTGCTTGTAGACCCTGAGATTGAGGTGGGGAAAGTGAGTTTCTTGTGTGACAGATGGTAAAACTGAGACCCATCTGTCCCATGCCTTCCCATGTTTGCAGCAACTGCGGCTGTTACTCAAAAGGCAGGGGTGGGCTGGGAGCGGTGGCTCATATCTGTAATCCCAGCGGAGGCCGAGGTGGGCAAATCACCTGAAGTTGGGAGTTAGAAACCAGACTGACCAACATGGAGAAACCCCATCTCTACTAAAAATACAAAGTTACCCCGGTGTGGTGGTGCATGCCTGAAATCCCAGCTACTTGGCAGGCTGAGGCAGGAGAATCGCTTGACCCCGGGAGATGGAGGTTGCAGTTAGCCGAGATCGTACCATCGCACTCCAGCCTGGGCAACAAGAGTGAAATTAAAAAATAACCAGTCTTAGCCGGGCGCGGTGGCTCACGCCTGTCATCCCAGCACTTTGGGAGGCTGAGGCGGGCGGATCACAAGGTCGAGAGATCGAGACCATCCTGGGCAACACGGTGAAACCCCGTCTCTACTAAAAATACAAAAAAAAAAAAATTAGCTGGGCATGGTGGCGCGTGCCTGTAATCCCAGCTACTCAGGAGGCTGAGGCAGGAGAATTGCCTGAACCCAGGAGGCGGAGGTTGCGGTGAGCCGAGATCGCGCCATTGCACTCCAGCCTGGGTAACAAGAGCGAAACTCCGTCTCAAAAAAAAAATAAAATAAAATAACCAGTCTGGGTGATTTTAGTCGATAGTCCTGTAGTCCCAGCTGCCTTTAGCCCTGTAGTCCTTTAGTCCCACGTGCCTATAGTCCCAGTTATTTAGGAGGCTGAGGTGGGAGGATTGCTTGAGCCCAGGAGTTGGAGTTAGGGCTGCAGTGAGCTGTGATAATGCCACTGCACTCCAGCCTGGGTGGCAAAGTGAGACCCCGATTCTAAAATAAAATTTAAAAAAGCATGGATGGCCGGGTGCGGTGCAGTGGCTCACGCCTGTAATCCCAGCACTTTGGGAGGCCGAGGTGGGTGGATCATGAGGTCTAGAGATCGAGACCATCCTGGTCAACATGGTGAAACCCCGTCTCTACTAAAAATACAAAAAATTAGCTGGGCATGGTGGTGCACGCCTGTAATCCCAGCTACTCAGGAGGCTGAGGCAGGAGAATTGCCTGAACCCAGGAGGCGAGGTTGCAGTGAGCCGAGATTGCGCCATTGCACTCCAGCCTGGGTAACAAGAGTGAAACTCCATCTCAAAAAAAAAAAAAAACAACACACACACACACACAAAAAAAAAAAAAAAAAAAAGCATGGATGACCTCTAGGCTCCTGTCCAAGTCTCACAGTTTTCACCCCACTGAGGAGACAGGCTTCAGGCCCAGAGAAGGTATAGAGTCAAGGTTGACACCCACATGTCTGCCCTGTCTAGCCTGTGACATACCCTCTCCAGGTCTAGGCCCAGCACCACTCCCATGATTTCCCAGGGCAAGAGAGAGGGTCTTCCACTGCCCTAGCTCTGCCTCTGAGGGACAGGACCAGAACAAAGTCTCCTTTCCAAGGGACACAGGGGGAAACCTTGGAAAGGAGTCCTTTGGAAAACCTGTTACTTAGGCCTAGGGTCCTAATGCATTCCCCACCATGCCCCAATCTGCTCCTGCCTGGGGTCACACAGATCCTTGCCTTACCCACTGGTAGCCTTGGGCCCCAGGCCTGCCCCCTCCTTCCCTGAGACTGCCTACCTGAGCCCCTGCAATGGTGCTGTGGTGTTCTCCTACCTCCTTTTGTTTTCCCCCCAGTAGAGACAGGGTCTTGCTATGTTGCCCAGACTAGTCTTAAACTCCTGACCTCAAATGATCCTCCCACCTCAGTTTCCTGAAATGCTGGGATTACTAGCTGAGCCACGGCACCCATCCTTCTCCAACCTCCTTGTATGAGCCTGGTCATTCCTTCTTTGGTTCTCTTCTGGTCCTTCCTCCCCTAGAAAATCTGTTTGTTTGTTTGTTTGTTTGTTTGTTTGTTTGTTTGTTTGTTTCAAGACAGAGTCTGGCTCTGTTGCCTAGGTTCGAGTGCAGTGGCATGATCTTGGCTCACTGCAACCTCCATCTCTTGTGTTCAAGCAATAATCCCACCTCACCCTCCCGAGTAGCTGGGACTGCAGGTGCATGCCACCATGTCTAATATTTGTATTTTTAGTAGAGACGGGGTTTCACCATGTTGGCCAGGTTGGTCTCAAACTCCTGACCTCAAGTGATCCACCACCTCAGCTTCCTAAAGTGTAGGGATTACAGGTGTATGCCACCATACCTGGCCCCCGAGACAATCTCTAAACGTTGCTGACTCTGGGCCTCTCCCCAGGGAACCCCGTCTGATCCTGAGGCTTTCAAAACCATGTCTACCATCACAGCACCGATATTTCTTTTTTTGTGGGAGTCTCGCTGTCACCCAGGCTGGAGTGCAATGGCGTGATCTCAGTTCACTGCAATCTTCACCTCCTGGGTTCAGGAGATTCTCCTGCCTTAGCCTCGTGAGTAGCTGGAATTATAGGCACACATCACCATGCCCGGCTAATTTTTTGTATTTTTACTAGAGACAGGGTTTGACCATGTTGGCCAGGCTGGTCTCAAACTCCTGACCTCATGATCCACCCACCTAGGGCTCCCAAAGTGCTGGGATTATAGCGTGAGCCACCGTGCCTAGCCCAGCATCCATATTTCTACCTTCTGCCCAGACCCCCCGAGCTCCAGGCTCCTTCAGCATCTCCCTTGGAAACTAACAGTCCTCTCCAGCTTTCCTCCCTATCCTCCCAGGCACTCAGGCCCCAAACCTGGGAGTCCATCCCATCCCTGTCCCCTCCTCTCATGACCTTGGTGGCCTCCTCTCCCACCTCCCTCCCCTCTGCTCATTCCTTCAGCCACCCTGGCTCCCTGGTGCTGAGCTTGTTCTTCCTGCCCTGGGCCCTCTGCCCTCACTATTCTCTCCACCTGGAATGCTCTTCCCTGATTCATCACAGGGCCCACTCTCTCCCTTTACTTGGGTTTCAGTACAAATATCACCTTTTTCCAGAAGGCTTCCATAACCCTCCTCCCTAAGAACTCATGGTCCATGCCTCTGTAGCCCTTATTATGGCTTGGAAATCATTTAGTTATTTGTTTATGTATTGTCTCCCTATATTAGTTCACTTTATGTTGCTATAAAGGAATACCAGAGACTATAATTTACAAAGAAAAGAACGGCCGGGCGCGGTGGCTCAAGCCTGTAATCCCAGCACTTTGGGAGGCCGAGGCGGGTGGATCACGAGGTCGAGAGATCGAGACCATCCTGGTCAACATAGTGAAACCCCGTCTCTACTAAAAATACAAAAAACTAGCTGGGCGTGGTGGCGCGTGCCTGTAATCCCAGCTACTTAGGAGGCTGAGGCAGGAGAATTGCCTGAGCCCAGGAGGCGGAGGTTGCGGTGAGCCGAGATCGCGCCATTGCACTCCAGCCTGGGTAACAAGAGCGAAACTCCGTCTCAAAAAAAAAAAAAAAAAAAAGAAAAGAAAAGAGGTTTTTCTGGCTCACGGTTATGCAGGCTATGCAAGAAGCACCTTGCCAGTATCTGCTTGGCTTCTGGGGAGGCCTCAGGAAGTTTTTACTCAAGGCGGGAGGCAAAGGGGAAGCAGGCACATCATGTGACAAGAGAGGGAACAAGACAGAGTCCAAACAACCAGCTCTTGTGTGAACTATTAGAGTGAGGACTCATTCATTACCTCCGGGTTACCAAGTCATTCATGAGGGATTTGCCTCCCACCAGGTCCTGTCTCCAACATTAGGGATCACATTTCTTTTCCTTTTTTTTTTTTTTTTTTTGAGACAAGGTCTCACTCTGTTGCCCAGGCAGAGTATCTCGGCTCACTAGAACCTCTGCCTCCCCAGTTCAAGCAATTCTCCTGCCTGAGCCTCCCAAATACTGGGATTACAGATATGTGCCACCACACCTGGCTTCTTTTTTTTAATTAATTATTTTAGTAGAGACGAGGTTTCACCATGTTGGCCAGGTTGGTCTGAAACTCCTGGCCTCAAGTGATCCACCCTCTTGGCCTCCCAAAGTGCTGGAATTACAGGTATGAGCCGCCACACCTGGCTGGGGATCACAATTCAACATGAGATTTGGAAGGAACAAATATCCAAACTGTATCATTTTCCCATCAGAATGCCAGCTCCAAGAAGCAGGAATGTGTCCATCTTGTTCATACTGTGTCTGTAGCTCAGTGCCTGGCACATAGTAGATGCTCAATACATATTTGTGGATTGCATGGGTGGGGGCATAGATGAATGGATGGATGGATGGATAAAGGCCTCTTTGGTTTTCCTACTTCCTTGCAGCATCACCTGATCTCTTTATGCTGCCACCTCTGCCTCTGGCCTGTATGTGTCAGGGGCTGCATTCATTCATGCATTCAGATCCATTGAGCATCTCTGTGTAGCAAAGATACTGAAATGACTGAGATCCCCTCAGCCCTGGCCCTCACAGAGCCTCGAGTTTTAGATATAAAAGAATCTCTCCAATATCCCTTGATCAGTGCTGGGAGGGTATATAAGGGACCAGAGCTATCTGGGAGGTAATCAGGGAGAGCTTCCAGGAGGAGGTGATGTCTAAGTGCAGCAGCGTTGCAATAGACCTGGGCCCCCATCCTGTCTACCTCTGACAGACTGTCTGAGGGGATCTTGAGGCATCCCTGCTTCTCACTGAGCCTCAGCTTCCATACTGTCAAATGCAGCAACAATCCCAGCAAGGCCTAGAACATGGCAGCAAGTGGGTAGGTAAAGGACTGGCTGGAGGGGAAGACTCCATTTGCACATACTGATTTAATTAGCTAAGGTGGCCCACAAGGCAGGGCCAGCATAGCTAACCTCAGCAGACAGCACTTCACAATGTGGCTCTCAGGCCTCTTACCATCCAGGTTCAAATCCCACCACCTACAAGTTGTGCAGTCTGGAGCTTCAAGGCCCTGCAGCTCAGTTTCCCCACCTGTGGAATGGAATATAATAGCTCCTGTCTCTTAGAGACACTGTGGGGATTAAAACAGGTAGGACACATCAGGCCTTTAGGACAAGGCCTGGCACACAGTTAACACTCAGAGAGTGCGACTAACATGATTTTATCCTTTCTCAGAGTAGCTTCCCTGGGGGGATTCCAACAACGGCTTTGATCTGAGAACCACACTCATAGATCGATTTTCTGCAATTCATTGATGCCTTCCCCTACACCCACTCCAATTGGGAGCACTGAGCCTGGGTCACTGCCCATTGTGTGCTGTGGGAGCCAGGCAGTAACCATGGCAACAGACAGAAACTGTTACCATTTATTGATTGGATTCGTATTTTTTAAATCTAAAGAATTTACATGCGGGCCGGGCGCGGTGGCTCAAGCCTGTAATCCCAGCACTTTGGGAGGCCGAGGTGGGTGGATCACGAGGTCAAGAGATCGAGACCGTCCTGGTCAACATGGTGAAACCCCGTCTCTACCAAAAATACAAAACATTAGCTGGGCATGGTGGCGCATGCCTGTAATCCCAGCTACTCAGGAGGCTGAGGCAGGAGAATTGCCTGAACCCAGGAGGCGGAGGTTGCGGTGAGCCGAGATCGCGCCATTGCACTCCAGCCTGGGTAACAAGAGCGAAACCCCGTCTCAAAAAAAAAAAAAAAAAAAAAGAATTTACATGCAATAAAGTCTCACTGAATCCTCACCACAGCCCTGTGAAGCAAGCCCACCGTCAATTGAGATCTTACAGATGAGGCCACTGAGGTTCAGAAAGGCAAAGCAATAGATCCCAGGTCACACAGCTCACACGGAGCAAAGCTCTCAGAGGCACTTGATCTCCTGCTTGCTTACCCCTTGCAGCCCACAGTCCACCATTCTTCCAGCTCCCCATGCTCCTCTTAGGCCCTGGGGGAGGTGGGAACAATGGTTCCCGAATGAATGGTGGTCTCTACCTATCTGCCAACCACCTCTCCCTTCTGCACGTCCCACCTCAAGGTAAGAGCTGGGAAATGGTTGGATGGGTGTAGACTGTCACTGTCACCAGCAGGGACTGGAACTCTGTCGCGTGGTGGCCGTGCACGTGGAGAACCTGCTCAGTGCCCGTGAGAAGCGGCTCACACTGCCCCCCAGCGAGATCACCCTGCTCTGACCCAGCCCCGAGCCCTCCAGTACCTTCTGCCAGAAGACTCACTGTGTGGCCTCAGGGTAGTCAGTGGACCTCTCAGGGTCAATTACCCCTGTAAGGGGCCAGAACCTTGGAGGACACCAAAAGGAGGCAGGAGGAGCAACTCAAATCCTCAAGAACTCAAGAAGACACATCCTGAACTGGGATAGAATGGCAGCATGCAGACTCGGGTCAGACAGCAGGAGGAACTTTCAATGTCTAACCCACGGTGGAGTGGAGCAGAAGGCAGGACCCTGAGGCCTCCTGCCTTGTACCTATTGCAGACCCTGCCCCTAACTCCTGCTATGGCACAGAAGCCCCACACCAGTTGCCTAGATGAACTGGACTCTGCCTTCAGTTTACTCAGGGTCTGACACTGGAATCTGCTCCAACTCCACATCCCAGCCCTACTTGTCCTCCTAAGGGGCCCCTCCTTGTACTGCCAGTTAGCCTGGATTTCAGTTAGCCTGGTTATTTCTGTGCAAACAAAAGGTGTGCCTGGCAGCCATTTCTCCATGGAGTTGCTGAGTGGCTGGAAAACAAGCCTGAGGGAGGAGGCAGAGTTGGAGGTAACTTAGGCCCCTGACTCAATGCCTACAAACAGATCCTCCCCCACTCCTTGGGTATTCCCAACCCCAGACCCCCATCACTTGATGGACCACAAAAGTTTGAGAGTGGTATAAGGGAGAAGTCTGGGAAAAGCCTTCTTGGAAAATGGGACATTAGCGTTGAGTTTCGAAAGATGAGTAGGAGTTTGCTAAGAATAGATGGAAGAGAGCGGGATAAAAATTCCAGAGAAAAATCATGTTTGTTTCCTGCTGTATCCCCCAGAAACCAGAGAACACCTAACACAGAGTAGGCACTTTAAAAATATTTGTCATATGAATGAAAGAATAAAAGAATGAATGTTGTTGGAAAGTGCTGGTTCTTTGAGGAGTTTCTGTGGGGCAGGGAGCACTTGGCTTGGGAATGGGAGACTAGATAGGTAGATGGGGGCATAACTGCAAGATCCGTGGCAGCAGAGAAAAGAGTTACCTACTCATTCAGCCATTCGAGCTATCCAAATACCTAGGCAAATACCAGGCACTAGCAGTTAATCACAGTCAAATCACCACAAAGTAGGACAAGACCTGTGAGTGGGAGTTAGCTGGGGAATGAGGAGAGAGAACAACATATGCGGGGACCCTGAGGTGCGCATACTTGTGGCAGGATCTGAGACTGAAGAGGACTCCAAAGATGGTTTGAGTAGGGATTCTGGACTACATTAAGAATTTAGGATTTCAACATTAAAAAAAAAAAAGAATTTAGGATTTCTAGGCTGGGTGTGATGGCTCACGTCTGTAATCCTAGCACTTTGGGGAGCTAGGCGGGAGGATTGCCTGAGCTCAGGAGTTTGAGACTAGCCTGGGCAACATGGTGAAACCCCGTCTACTAAAATACAAACAATTAGCTGGGTGTGGCAGCATGCACCTGTAGTCCCAGCTACTCAGGAGGCCGAGGCAAGAAAATTGCTTGAACCCGGGAGGCAGAGGCTACAATTAGCCAAGATCATGCCACTGCAATCTAGCCTGGGTAACAAAGCGAGACTCCGTCTCCAAAAAATAATAATAATAATTTAGGATTTCTGGGCCGGGTGTGGTGACTCATGCTTGTAGTCCCAGCACTTTGGGAGGCTGAGACAGGTGGATCACTTGAGCTCAGGAGTTTGAGACCAGTGTGGCCAACATGGTGAAACCATTTCTGCTAAAAATACAAAAATTACCCAGGGATGGTGGCAAGCGCCTATAATCCCAGATACTAGGGAGGTTGAGGCACAAGAGTCATTTGCACCCAGGAGGTGGAGGTTGTAGTGAGTCGAGATCGCACTGCTGTACTCCAGCTTGGGTAACAGAGTGAGACTCGGTGTCAAAAAAAAAAAAAAAAAGAATTCAGGATTTCATCCCAAGAGCCATGAGGAGACTTCAAAGGTTTGCCAGAAGCGGGAGGGGTTGCGCAACCTGCACAGATTGTACTTTGTAAAAGCCACACTGACCACCGAGCAGTGAGTGAATGTAGGAGCTGGGGAGACCAGAGGGGCTGCTGCAGTGTTAGCTGGAACTGTGGCATGGATTCTAGTGATGGTGACAGGGGTGGGTAGAAGTTGGTAACTTGGGAGAGATTAAAAGGTCCAGCTGGCAGGACCAGGGGGGCAATTAGACCATCCTAGGATGGAGAGGATCAAGAAAGAGTCCCTGATACAAATGCCACAGGGCTATCCTATTTTTCACCATTGCTTTGGGTTGACTTTCCCCAGAAGCAAACCCTGAGGTGAGAAAAGTAAGGAACTCACCAGAAAGAGTGTGGTATCAATCAAGTTACCACTATGCAGGGGCCATAACTGGCAGCAGCTCACCTACATTGCCCCTGGGGTTCCGCCAGTAGCGCTGGTGCTCCCTCAGTGTGGGGACCCCCAAAACAGAGCACAATGACTACAACATGAGACAGCTCTGAGGCCTGCCCTCTGCCCTTCATTTCTTAGTGTTGTGAGATCATACACGGTGTGTGGGGGGGAAAGGGGTTTCAGGCTCACTAATTACTTTTGTCCTAAACCCTTTCTCTAGTTAAGCTAAACTATGGGGCTCAGGAAGGGATAATGTGGCAGAGTGAAAACCAGGGGGCCCTCTTGGCTTTCAGAATACAACTGGGGCCTACCACATAGACGACAAGCAGCCTCTTGGAAGTGGATCATCCAGGTTGAACCAAAATGTGAATCACCTCTTCACATCCTCTAGGTTGAGACAGCCTCTCCCATTGCAGACACTGCATTGGAAGTTTCCCTGTGTTCCTCCCTGACTGCTCTTGAGCTAGGACCCTCCCCTCTCTGAGCTCCGGTGAAGGACAGCACAGATTCTGGAACCAGGCTGCCTGGGTTTGAATCGTCACTAGGCCACATACTGGCTGTATGGCCTTGGGCAGGTCATTTCACTTATCTGGGCCTGTTTCCCTGGTGATAATAATAATGCCCCCCACGTTAAGGTGTTTGGAGGATTAATTGGGTTAGCATACATATATAGGCCCTGGCACATGGTAAAAACTTGATAGGCTTTTTAAAAAACGTCCATTCCAGGCTGGGCACAGTTGCTCACGCCTGTAATCACAGCACTTTCGGAGGCCAAGGCGGGAGGATCCTTGTGCCCAGGATTTCTGAGACCAATTTGGGCAACATAGTGAAACCCACCTCTACTAAAAACAGAAAAATTAGCAGGGCGTGGTGGTGCACGCCTGCAGTCCGAGCTACTCAGGAGGCTGAGGTGTGGATCGCTTGAACCCAGGAGGTCGAGGGTGCAGTGAGTGAGGACTGCACCACTTCATTCCAGCCGGGGCAAGAGACTTTGCCCAAAAAATAAAAATACAAAAAAAGAGACAGGTGATAAGGAACTGGCATTCCAGGTGGTGGAAACAGCCTGGGCAAAGACCAGGAGGTGAGACACAGTATGTTTGCAGACCTGGCTTACAGGATGACAGGGCTGGGGCTCAGCGTACGTGGAAAGAGGGGAGAGGAGGAGGCAAGGCCCTAAGAGTCTTGAAGAAAGGCTTTGAGCGCCAAATAAAGCAGCTGGACTTTATCCTGGGGAGACATGGGAGATTTTTCAGCAGAATCCCCCATTTGTTGAAGCCCTCCAGAGCATCCTGCACAGCCACGCCTTTCTGTTTTGTTTTGGAGCTCTGCCGCCCAGGCGGGAGTGCAGTGGACCGATCTCGGCTCTCTGCAGCCTCGAGCTCCTGGGTTCAAGTGACCCTCCCATCTCTGCCTGCCGAGTAGCTGGGACCACAGGCGCGCGCCACCACGCCCAGCTTATTTTAAAAATTTTATTGTAGAGATGGGGTCGCCATGTTGGCCAGGTTGGTCTCAGACTCCTGGGCTCAAGTGATCCGTCCGCCTCGGCCTTACAAAGTGCTGGGATTACCCGCCCGGCCACGCCTTTGCTGACTGCTTAAAAACTTTTTCGAATTGACTTCAGTCATTACAGCCTAGCTTTATCCGTGCTCCCGTTCCCTTCCTAGAGTTTTCTCCGTTCCCGGAGGAGGCGCCTCCACGCCCATCTCTAGCACCCTGGAGGCCCGACGCCACCCCAGCGCGCCCCCGCGCCAGCCGTCACCGGGACGTGACTCGCGGAACGTCTGCTCCGGGCGGCGGCGGCCGCGGCGGCAGGCTGGCTTGTACCCTTACAACGAGCGTCCGGCTTCTGCCTGACATTCCTATCTGGGTTCCGAGCTGGGGCCGGGTGCTCTCGGTCCCGCAATCTGAGTTTTCGCGGGTTTCAGAAGTTTCCTTAGGCATCCTGAGGGCTTTCCTCAGCGGAGCCTCCATTCAGGCACTTATTCAGCCACCCATTTCCCCTTTAGGGGTCCTCGCTGCTCTCCCAGCCGCTAATTAAGTGACGGACGCAGTAGCCTAGGAGACTGCCTGATTGACGGGCATAATTACCAACCGACTTCCGGAAACTCCAGTCAGGGCCTGCCCCGCGCGTGGCCGACGGCCCAATTAAAGAAGTGGAAGTGCCAAAGGGGGAGGTAACGGGGCGGCCTGGGTTGTGGCGGTTCCCTGGTGATTGCACGCTGGGGTTGAGGCGTCTCCCGATATTCGGACGATGCCGTGACGCGGCATGGCGACACTGTTGGCTGTGTGAGCACACCCTGTAGAGGGAGCCCTTCGGTCCTGGAGGCGGCGCGGCGTGGAGACAGGTTGCTGTTTGAGAGCGCTCTCTCGAAGCCCCTCAGCGAGTGGGGGAGGGGCGGCGGACGGCGAGCGGTCCCGGTCTGCGCTTGCGCTGGCGCCTCTGCCGACCCGGCCTGCACGCACGCGCATGCCTGTAGCGCGCGGAGCCGCGGTGGCCGGCAGCACTACGCTTGCGCGGTGAGGAACCCGCTAAGGAGCGGCGCTGGCGGACGTCGGGCTGGCGGCCCGTGACGTCGTGAGGAGAGCTTTAAAGTGCGGGCCGGGCCGGGCGTCCGAGGGTCTGGTCTGGAGTCGGGCTGCGTCTCCACAGCAGCCCCCCGCGGCATGAGGCGCTGCCGGCGCCCCTGCCCCCCGGGACGTGGAGAAGGTGGAGGAGGAAGAAGCCCCGTTGTCGTTGCATGACCCGCCGCCCCTGAGGCCCGACCCCACGCCCGGACCCTCGACGCCCCCCGCCGGGTCCCCAGCTCACGTATGGGAGTTGGGCGCTAAGGACCCCCTTTCCCTCCGGGGTCCCCGGGGCGCGTCCCCCTAGAGCCATGCCCGGCTGCCCCGCCCGCCCCGGAGGACCCTAGAGCAGCGTCGTGGGGGCCATGGCGGCCGCCAGCGGCTACACGGACCTGCGTGAGAAGCTCAAGTCCATGACGTCCCGGGACAACTACAAGGCCGGCAGCCGGGAGGCCGCCGCTGCAGCTGCCGCCGCCGTAGCCGCCGCAGCCGCGGCCGCCGCCGCCGCCGAACATTACCCGGTGTCCGGGGCCAAGCGCAAGTATCAGGAGGACTCGGACCCCGAGCGCAGCGACTACGAGGAGCAGCAGCTGCAGAAGGAGGAGGAGGCGCGCAAGGTGAAGAGCGGCATCCGCCAGATGCGCCTCTTCAGCCAGGACGAGTGCGCCAAGATCGAGGCCCGCATCGACGAGGTGGTGTCCCGCGCCGAGAAGGGCCTGTACAACGAGCACACGGTGGACCGGGCCCCACTGCGCAACAAGTACTTCTTTGGCGAAGGCTACACTTACGGCGCCCAGCTGCAGAAGCGCGGGCCCGGCCAGGAGCGCCTCTACCCGCCGGGCGACGTGGACGAGATCCCCGAGTGGGTGCACCAGCTGGTGATCCAAAAGCTGGTGGAGCACCGCGTCATCCCCGAGGGCTTCGTCAACAGCGCCGTCATCAACGACTACCAGCCCGGCGGCTGCATCGTGTCTCACGTGGACCCCATCCACATCTTCGAGCGCCCCATCGTGTCGGTGTCCTTCTTTAGCGATTCTGCGCTGTGCTTCGGCTGCAAGTTCCAGTTCAAGCCTATTCGGGTGTCGGAACCAGTGCTTTCCCTGCCGGTGCGCAGAGGGAGCGTGACTGTGCTCAGGTAACCCACCTGGGTGGAGGGGGCGGCCCTGCGCCTGCTGCCTTAACTACCCACCCTGGCCCAGAAAGCAGCAGCCCAGTAGGAGCAAGAGAAGGGTTCTGTGTTTAAATACCTATAGCAAGAAAATAGGGCTCAGGGAACTGATGTGGAAATCCTGTGCCCGAAGGCAGGTTTGACGGGATCACTGACTTGGCTGAGAATTCATTGAACGCCATCTTTTCAAAAGGCTAAGACGTTTCCCTTTGATTTTTCAGTTTTCCGTTCTGGCCTTCCATTTCCAAATTATACTTTTGAAAAATGTTTTTTGAATTTGCTATCTAAAAGTCTTTCCTGTTCTGTCATTTTTGGTGTTCTTAATAGAAAATGTTCATGGATTCCTTAACAGAGAAAATAGTCACAGGCAAAGGCCCCAGAGATTATTTAATTGAAGCACATTCTCCATTCCCAGGAGGGGGAGTGACTTCCCTGGAGTTGGACAAATTAGTGGTTGGGCTAGGAATAGAGCTAGCAGCACACACTCAGAATTCTTCCCACTTGGCTGCAAAAGAGCCCATCAGTTCTCTGTAAGAACGTGTTACCTGTAGTCAGGACTGAATACAACAGAATACAGCTGGTCTCTTGACCGTCTGTTTGGCCTTATAGTTGCATGAGCAGCAGAACTTAGGCTTTTGGCCTATATTTGGTCCCAGATCCTACTGAGAATTAGCTCAGTGCCCTAGCCCCCAGAGGAGGTTGCCAGTGGGAACACCTCTGCTGTTTATGTGAAGTGAAAATTTACTTGGAAGCTGCCTCCTCCAGTCCTGAAAAAGGTGAACCTAATAATGTAATTCAGTAATCCCCAAAACCTCTTAGGTCTAGCCTGCAGCTGTTTTCAGAGCAGCTTGGTTGACCACCACTAAATACAGGATGAGGGCCCAATGGGCTTTTGTCGTGAGCAGCTCAGGTTCTGAAGTGAGTCAGTAAGGCCAAAGTCATGAGGAGCAGCAGGATCCCTGGAACCTTCTTCATGTCATAAAGGCAGGTCATCTATCTCATTTGAGTCGAGCAGCTGAGGCTGCTTCCATGTTGGGGGTGGCAGCAGAGCCTTGTGCTAAGACCTCCTGTCAGTAGTAGCAGAAGCGATACTTTGGCTCCTTAGGCATCTGAAACCTGGAGGACAACCTACCTGTCAGATGCCTTCTTACCATGGGCTTTTGAGCTTCTCAGATCTGCATGGCATTCCCAGATGGATGTCTTGGCAGAATGCTTTAAGATTTTAAGGGATTTCCAAGACACACTCTCCCACAGTGCTCAATGTGTAAGGCAGGTTGGGGTCTGACTCCATTGAAGAGTTGTCAGTGCTAAAACGATCTCACACAGGGACCATTTGGTCTCTTAGTGGGATATTTTCTGTGTAGTCATTGGCCCTCAGGGTGGTTGTCAGGAGGTCTAGTAGTGGTCTGGTACTTAATGAGATCACAAGGCCTTTTTGGTTTTGGGACTCCTCCTCTTAATACATGCACACCCTGGATTGAAGAACAGAAGTTTTGAGTTCTTAGTATGCAGGTCTGTTTGTGATCAGCAACAGGATTGCATCATCAGGAAAAGAATTTTCCTCAGAATAGTCCTAAAGCTTTCTCAGTCCCTGTCAACCCCTTCTGGATTCAGACTTGGCTGTGGAGTTAATGTGGGAGGCTCAGCCGTGTCCTGAAAAGTGCTGCCCCAGGCTTTGAATCCAGCTTTTCTCTCTTTTGCTTTAGGATCTTGTAGGCGTTCTCTGAGCTGGCTTTCCCATCTGTAAGTGGGGATGATGCCAACTTCCGAAGCCTATTAGAATGAAATGTGGTTATTTGTTGTCTAAGATAGGGCCTGGCACAGGGTAGGTACTTAAATGGGTGATTGCTTTCATATACAACCACTCAGTGATCCCCCGCTCTCTCATTGGGGAAGGAACTAGGGATTTGGTGGAGCCTGAAACATGGTTATTTCCCTTCATGGAGTTCAAGCCCTGTGGAGGCTTCAGCAGGTGGGTAAGTTATGGCCCAGGAAGGTAACTACAGAAGCACACTGAAGTGGGGGGGGGAGGACATCTTTCCCACTTTGGAGTGATGGAAGTTTTGGGGAGGAAGTGAACTGGAATTTAAAAAGTGACTAGGAATGAGCCAAGCAGAGAAAGGTGGAGAAAGTATACAACAGCAGTGTCTTTGGCTGCAGTAGCAGGAGTAGCCATAGGTAAGAGTGGCTGGATGTTGATGGGAGGCAGATGGAGTTCATTAGTAGAGACAGAGATTGTGGTTGAAGATGCTCTGGTGAACTCTAGATCAGGGCTTCTCAACAATGCTATTGTTATTTGAGGCTCAATAATTCTTCATTGTGTGGGGCTGCTCAGGCATTGTAGACTGTAGCCGCATTCCTGGCCTCTATCTCTTAGGTGCCAATAGTGTTTTTTTATGACAACCAGAAAGTCTCCAGACACTGCCAAATGCTGGGGCGGGGAAGTGCAGAATCATCCTTAGTTGAGAGTCACTGCTCTAGAGTCTGGACCCTTCCCCTAATTAAATCTTCTCACAGCTGCTTACCTAGCTTACCTGGTTTGCAGGTGGATGAACACTTGCCTATTAGTAGTGCCCTTCATCAAATCCTGCATGTAAACTGGTAAGAAGTGATGCTTTCTCTCGTTTCCTGGTGCAGATCCTAGCTCAGAGGTGATGAGCAGTAAAGCTGCAGATTGGAAGGGAGGAGTGGAACAGTGGTGCTGGTGAAAACAGTGGTGCCGTGCAGATAGGGAGGGATTCCAGTAGTAAGCGTCTTAGTCAGACTTCAATTGGTGGTGGTGGCAATGGTGTCTGTACCCATCCAAGACAACATGGCAGGAGTACAATTTTATATTTAATAGTAATCAGCATGGATGTTGGTGCGTCGCAAACATTGACTCAGCAGTGTCTAAACCTGGGCATTTAGAGCAAGGCGTCATGGCATCTTCTGGAAGTGTTTCAAATTCCTTTCCAAACCTAGTTGGCATTTGTTTTTGTAACCTTCCCATGTTAGGCCTGGGTGGGTCCCCTCTTATTGCTGTCCTCTAGGGAAATATTTTTTACCTTCATATCACTTTATCTGTCATTCCTTCTCCTGTTCTCTGTTGGCTGAATGGGGCAGATTAAAACAGGCTCCGATTGGATTAATTAGAATAATTACCTCAAGGCTAATTGCTTGCTTGCTGGCTTCTTTAATCATTGCTACATGGTCTGTGGTGTGGTGGCCACATGCCCAGAGACCCAGGCCTAGGCCAGCCGTCTGGAAATGACTGTGTATCACCCAGCCACAGGGCATGCACTGGTGAGCTCAGCCTGTGACTTTTCCAGTTAACAGTTGGTATTGGATGGAATGGGCACCCCTGTCAGTTCTGGGATAAAGGCTGATCTTGTTCAGCTGGTTGAAAGCAAAATTTAGCATTCTGGCTTAAAATAGTTGGGAAAGTAGGGCAGATAGGTCCTAGGCCACATCTCTTGTGTGGACTCTTTCTGATTCCACTGGAGGGGGAGGAACCACAGGATGAAGTCAGGGCTGTGCACCGTCAGGAGGAGCTCTGGGCCTGGGGGTTGGCTGCCCTTGCTGCTGCCGAGGCCTAACAAGAAGGCAGAGGGCAGCAAAAGAAAGGAAGCTAGCAGTGAACCATGGTCTTAATCGTGAAGCTCAGAGCAAGCAGAGAATAAATAGGCCATAAAAATTTCAGAGCTGGCTGGCACGGAGGCTCAAGCCTGTAATCCCAGCACTTTGGGAAGCCAAGGCAGGCAGATCACGAGATCAGGAGTTTTAGCCTGGTCAATGTGGTGAAACCCCGTGTCTATCAAAAATACAGAAATTAGCCAGGTGTGGTGGTGTGCACCTGTAATAACAGCTACTCAGGAGGCTGAGGCAGGAGAATCACTTGAACCTAGGAGGCAAAGGTTACAGTGAGCTGAGATCAAGCCATTGCACTCCAGCCTGGGCACTAGAGTGAGATACCATCTCAAAAAAAAAAAAAAAAAAAAAAGCTGGCTGGCCAGTTGGTGGGTAGCCATAGCTGATACAGTGCTAGCTCTTTGGGGATATGGGCTCATCTTTGCAAATCTTTTCCTTGGGGCTAGTAGGTATGCATGTGCCTTTTGGTGAGGCCAGCAAGGCCCCCAGGGCAGGGTTGTTACCAGGAAACACAGATGGGCTTCCCACAACAGAGTCCAGAAAGTTTGATGGCAAATTTGGTTGGAGTTACAGCACCACCGTTTTAACTTTGACCTTGGGCAAAATTACTCAATCTTTTCGGGGGCCTCAATTTTCCTTATCTGCAAAACTGGTCTACTGATGCCATAGAGTTGTTATAAAAAGTTGAATCTTTGTCATGTTATTGAATGGTTGAAATTTAGCTAAAAGTGTCAGGAGATGGGCTGTCTTCTGTGTTTATAGTACTATCTATACCTTGGTGTAAACAGAATTGGGACTCAGCAGGTTGACCTCCTTCCCTCTAGCTTCAGAAAGCCCCAGGATTTCTCATAAAGTAAGGCCATGTGTCATCTTGGAGGCTTGGATCTGATAAATAATTGAACTGGAGCTCACAATTCTACCCCTGTGTCCAGGTGGTTGGCCTGCTGCCCCCAAAAGCTGACCTTCTTGGTCCTGTGGGCCTGTCAGTAAGGCAAGCAGCCCTAGCCAGAGAGAACCAGTCACCAGGCTGGGATCTTGGCCAATCCCTCCATCTCTGGTTCATCCTGGCGTAGGCATGGCATGGAGTAGATGGGAAATGGTGGCCATCTTGGAAATGTGTCATAACAACTCACTTTCCAAGACTGTCCCCTAAAGGAGAGATGTACAGTCTTGTATAGTCCATTATAAAGAGTTTTTCAGACACTTCATTTAATCTGCACCTAATCTTCTGAGGAGGGGCTTGCTGTGATCTTTGTTCTGCAGAGGCAGAAACAGGTTCTAAGTGGTAGTATAGTTCAGCTCAACACACATTTCATTTAATGTCCTCTGTGCAGGGATGAGCAAGGCCTTTGAAGAGCTTTGTCTTGAAGGGAAAACACAGTCTCCACAAGGCCAGATGGAGTAGCAAAGAAGCATGAGAGGGTGTGGTTGAGCAGTGTAGGGGAAACTCAGCCTGGGGGATCAGGGCAAGACTCCAGAAGAGGAGACAGACATCTCAGCTCCTTTGAGAGTCACTGTGGGTGACAGAGCTGGGCTCTGTTGCTCTTGACATTTGCAACATAGTCAGTGTTGTGGGGGCTTGGGGCTCATCCCAAGCAGGGAGCAGGTAAGCTGGACAGCATAAGGTATTTCCTCCTCTCCTTTCACTGTGAAAACAAAAGAGCAGCAGGTCCTGGAACTTTTCTTCATGCCAGCAGTAGGGCTGAACCCAGGGCATATTAAATTTCAAGCTGGCAGACTAAGACTTTCAGACAGTTTCTCTTGTAGCAAGTAGGTTCCTTAATAGTAAATAATGCCCTGTGGTCTCTGCTCGACACTTTGCGAGGTTGGCCAGGAGAGCTTCCCTTAATCAGGACTTTGAGCTCATGTTGCCAGAGCTGCCCAGTACTCTGAAGAAGGGTCAGTGGGCAGTGTCACAGCTGCTAGGAAGTTCTAGAAGGCCAGTACTAATGAGCCTTCCCGGTTGGGTCAGTGCCAAAGTCATTTTTGTGGACCCGTGCAGCCTTACCTATACACCAATTCTTCCAAGGCCTAGGCTCCATGGCAGGAACCTGACATGGCTTATTGTTTGTTCTAGAGCCCTTTGGAGGGGGTGGGGGCAGGGATCATGCAGGCAGTCAGGCTTTGACAAACATCTGGATTTTCTCCAGAACTGCGTGAAGAAAAGTGGTTCAGGCCAGGTGCGGTGGCACACGCCTGTAATCCCAGCACTTTGAGAGGCCAAGGTGGGTGGATCACCTGAGGTCAGGAGTTCGAGACCAGCCTGACCAATGTGGTGAAACCCCGTCTCTTGAAATTAAAAAAAAAGAAAAAAAAAAAAAAAAAGGCCGGGCGCGGCGGCTCAAGCCTGTAATCCCAGCACTTTGGGAGGCCGAGGCGGGTGGATCACGAGGTCAAGAGATCGAGACCATCCTGGTCAACATGGTGAAACCCCGTCTCTACTAAAAATACAAAAAATTAGCTGGGCATGGTGGCACGTGCCTGTAATTCCAGCTACTCAGGAGGCTGAGGCAGGAGAATTGCCTGAACCCAGGAGGCGGAGGTTGCGGTGAGCCGAGATCGCGCCATTGCACTCCAGCCTGGGTAACAAGAGTGAAACTCCGTCTCAAAAAAAAAAAAAAAAAAAGGTGGTTCCTTGCTGCAGATGGGAAGTCAGGGCTCTTGGTTATGCATTTAGCCAAGTCAGACAGATTGATAACACTTGTTAAGGGCAAGGAAGGTTGCCTATAGCCAGCACTGCAGATTCAGGACTTAGAAATGTGCCTTTGGGGCCAAGCACATATAATCTGAGCACTTTGGGAGTCCGAGGTGGGTGGATCACATGAGGTCAGGAGTTTGAGACCAGACTGGCCAACATGGGGAAACCCTCTTCACTAAACATAAAAAAATGAGCTGGGTGTGATGGGTACACCTGAGGTAGGATAATCGCTGGAACCTGGGAAGTGGAGGTTACAGTGAGCCAAGATTGTGCCACTGCATTCCGGCTTGGCGACAGATCAAGACCCCCTGTATCCCAAAAGAAAAATGTGCCTTTGGGACATTTGACAGTCCTTTGGGAAAGTCCTGTATGTGTTTATGGGACTGTCTTGCAGTCTAAACCCCCATTCCCCCAGTGCAGAATGACAAAAGCATTCGATGAGAACTAGAGTTTCTAGCTCCGGAACTGGGGCCTAGGAGGCTCCCACTACTGGCAGGGGGAGCCTGGACCATGTCTGTTGTGGCAGATGCTGAATCCAGGGTTCTGGCTTGCCCCAGAATAGTCCAGGGCCCTCTGACTTTTGTTAGAGTGCTTAGTAAAAATTGTAGAGTGTCATGTACCCTGGATTATCTTACTTAATTCCTGCAGCAGCCCTGCAGGTACACCTCTCACCACCATCAACCATGTAGTCCTGTACTACTGTAATTCTGCCTGGAAGGTAGAAGGCCTTGTCCCACTTTGTAAAATCTTATAATCTTTAGTAGCAGTAAAAGAATAGTTAAGTTACCAGGCAGAACAAAATACCCAAGAACCTACTGTTCTCCTTATTATAGATGAAACTGTAAAACAGGTTTTTAGGTTCAGCATCTGATTTAACAAAGGTCACAAAGCTAGTAGGAGACAAAGCTCACCTTTGAACCCAAGTCTCTTCAGCTCCCTAACTCCTTTGTGTTACTTTTTGTTGTGGGCTGACAGATACTAACAGGTATTATTTGAGAGAAGGTTCTTTGTTTAGTGCTCAGTTAAACAAAGTCTGTGGGTCCTTTTGCTGTAGTAATTCTCATGTGCTTTACATATGTTAATGCTTTTTTTTTTTTTTTTTTTTTTTTTTTTGAGACGGAGTTTCGCTCTCGTACCCAGGCTGGAGTGCAATGGCGCGATCTCGGCTCACCGCAACCTCCGCCTCCTGGGTTCAGGCAATTCTCCAGCCTCAGCCTCCTGAGTAGCTGGGATTACAGGCACGTGCCACCATGCCCAGCTAATTTTTTGTATTTTTTTTAGTAGAGACGGGGTTTCACCATGTTGACCAGGATGGTCTCGATCTCTCGACCTCGTGATCCACCCGCCTCGGCCTCCCAAAGTGCTGGGATTACAGGCTTGAGCCACCGCGCCCGGCCAATGCTTTTTGAAACTAATTAGTATTTTACAAATTGATTTGACTAGACATTTGTCTACTGTCTTTTTTCTTTTTTTTTTTTTTTTGAGACGGAGTCTCACTCTGTCACCTACACTGGAGGGCAGTGGTGCGATCTCAGCTCACTGCAACTTCCATCTTCTGGGTTCAGCGATTCTCCTGCCTCAGCCTCCCCAGTAGCTGGTATTACAGGCACCTGCCATCATGCCCGGCTAATTTTTGTATTCTTGTAGAGACAGGGTTTGACTATGTTGGCCAGACTGGTCACAGACTCCTAACCTCAGGTGACTTGCCTACCTCGGCCTCCCAAAGTGCTGGGATTACAGACATGAGCCACCACTCTAATCTCAGCACTTTGAGACACTCTGTCCACTGTCTCTTATGGGACTGGTGTTCACGGAGAATGAAAAATTCTTGTCTAAGAGCAACTTGAGGGAAAGGGTGGAATCTATGAAATAAAGATTTGGACTAGGCACGGTGGCTCACACTTTGGGAGGCCGAGGCAGGCAAATCACAAGATCAGGAGTTCAAGACCAGCCTGGCCAATATAGTGAAACCCCGTCTCTACTAAAAGTACAAAAATTAGATGGATGTGGTGGTGTGTGCCTGTAGTCCCAGCTACTCGGGGGGCTGAGGTAGAAGAATCACTTGAAACTGGGAGGTGGAGGTTGCAGTAAGCCGAGATCATGCCACTGCACTCCAACCTGGGTGACAGAGTGAGACTCTGTCTCAAGTCAGATTTCCAAATCAGAGGTGCCTCCTTAAGGCTGAGCCTGAAGCAGTTTGGGTTTTTATCTCTTACTGGCTCTTGCATCCAGTTATTAGATCCGAGATTTGGCCAACCTGGTCATCTTTAGGGATCCCTCCTAAGTTTGTGTCTGTACAACTAGCCCTTGAAAAGGGAGCTGATCAGCAGCCATGAGAGAAGGATTTGTGGTCCCGGGGCTGGTAGGGAAACTAAGCCATACTCATCCCATTGGGCCTGTGGCTGAGTGAGTTTCTGGGTGTGTAGAACTGCTGCAGCTCAGTAGAGAAACTTGCAGTGGGTGTGGCTTATGGTTGCCATGCTCCCAGTGAGCATGTCAGAGGCTTAGGAAGCTCAGAGCTTGCTTCCAGAGTTTCAAATTGGAATGACGCTAACTGAGAAGGGGACAGTCATATACCCACATTAGTTGGTCTTCAAGCAGTTAAAAGTCATATAACTTGTTGAAAATAAATGGATATCTGAGTATGATGGACATCTTTTTTTTTTTTTTTTTTTTTTTTTTTTAATTGAGACAGAGTCTTGCTCTGTTGCCCAGGCTGCTGGACTGCAAAGGCAATATCTCAGCTCACTGCAGCCTCTGCCTCCTGGGTTCAAGTGATTCTCCTGCCTCAGCCTCCTGAGTAGCTGGGATTACAGGCGCCCGCCACCACACCTGGCTAATTTTTATATTTTTAGTAGAGATGGGGTTTCACCATGTTGGCCAGATTGGTCTCAAACTCCTGACTTCAGGTGACCACCCACCTTGGCCAGCCAAAGTGCTGGGGTTACAGGCATGAACCACCGCGTCCAGCCAGGAATTCTTAAAATGTTAAAACATTTTGGATCCCCCTAAATGGAGGCTTCAAGTCTCTTTTGAAATTAGGCAGTCCTAGTTCTCCCTGGTGACTCAGTGCTGTCTGTGGCCGCCTTGGCTTTCTCTACCTTCTAAAGGAAGGGAGAATGAGGAGAGGAGATGAAATGTACTCTCTGGAGTACCCTTTTAAGAAAGGGCTTCTGGCCTGTTCAGGGAGAGTCTTACTTCAGGCCTCTGCCTTAAGTGGCCAAAGGGGTCTCCTTTGCTTCATACCAGGTTTTTCCTTGAGTATTACAGTTTCTGGGCAAAAGCATCCTGGAGCTTAATATGATATTCCCTTCCATTTAGGTCCTTGAACCTCTCAAGTAATGAGTAGAGAGCAGCCATAAGACCTAGGTCACATTCTTGTCCTGTTATATCCCCCAGGCACTCCGGTTGTCTGTCTGCTCTTGATGGTAACATGTTCTGTGTTTCTTTTCAGTGGATATGCTGCTGATGAAATCACTCACTGCATACGGCCTCAGGACATCAAGGAGCGCCGAGCGGTCATCATCCTCAGGAAGTAAGTGCCTTGATGTCTTGACCTTCTGCCTCATCTGCAGGCCTGTCCGGAGATGTATCTCTGGGTCCACTTAGAACTCAGCTCTTATGTATCAATGGCATGGCAGAGTAGAGAGCAGAACTGTTAAGTTCTCTTACTTTTTATTTGAATCCTGTGAGGATAAAGTTGTTTTGTCTTTTTTTTTTGAGACGGAGTTTCGCTCTTGTTACCCAGGCTGGAGTGCAATGGCGCGATCTCGGCTCACCGCAACCTCCGCCTCCTGGGTTCAGGCAATTCTCCTGCCTCAGCCTCCTGAGTAGCTGGGATCACAGGCACGCGTCACCATGCCCAGCTAATTTTTTGTATTTTTAGTAGAGACGGGGTTTCACCATGTTGACCAGGATGGTCTCGATCTCTTGACCTCGTGATCCACCCACCTCGGCCTCCCAAAGTGCTGGGATTACAGGCTTGAGCCACCGCGCCCGGCCGTTTTGTCTTTTTATCAGAAAATTAAGTTGTCTGGCTATTTAGGGAGTTTAGGACTGAGCAAAAGCATATGATCCCACTATTTGTCACAAGATTTGGGCAGCATTCTTCCAAACCCCACCCCACCCTTTAACCTCTATTCCTTACCTCCTTGGTTCTTGTCACACGTACTCTTGGTGATTATTTTTAGACTGTGCTTTTAGCAGCCTGCTTTAAAAATGCCTGGGTTTTCACTGCTGAGAGGAACAGGGAGGAAAGAGAAGAGACAAGGGTGAAAGGTTAGGATGCAGTATTCAGCAGAGTCATGGCTTGTGCCTCTTCTGGAGAGGGAATCAGGGATGCACTAATTAACATCAACAAGCTTGGCTTCAGCAGCATTTCTTTCATGGGTTAAGTGGAAGAGGCCATAGCCCCACAGACATTGGATCAAGACAAGTATGCCCCCACACCCTTCATGATTTTTTTTTTTTTTTTTTTTTAAGGTCTTACTCTTGCTCAGGCTGGAATGCATTGGTACCGTCGTCTTAGCTCACTGCATCCTTAAAATCCTGGACTCAAGCTATCTTCCTACTTCAGCTTCCCGAATAGCTGTGACTACAGGCGTGTGCCACCATATCTGGTTCAAGCCTGCCTTTTAAATAGAGTCCCAGAGAGGATAGATGATTACTCAGAGTCATAGAAGTCAGTGAGCAGAGCAAAACATGCATGTAGACTTAGGCTTGACCAGTATAACTTGCTGTCTGTCTTCTTTTTTCTTCCTCTTCCTTTCTTTTTATTAAACTTTATTGTTTTAGAATAGTGTTAGATAATTGCGATAGTACAGAGTTCCCATGTATTCTGCATCCCATTTCCTCTATTTGTTAATTTTTCATTGGTTTGATGTTTATTACAATCAAGAATCTAATATTGATATGTAATAAACTAAAGTTCATACTTTAGTTTTCCTTGTTTCTCCTAATGTCCTTTTTCTGTCCCAAGATCGCACATTACATTTAGTTTGACATCCATCTTAGGCCCCTCTTGGCTGTGATAGTTTTCCAGACATTGCCTTTTTTTTTTTTTTTTTTTTTTGAGACAGGGTCTCACTCTGTTGCCCAGGCCAGAGTGCAGTGGCACCATCTCAGCTCACTGCAACCATCACCTCCCAGGTTTAAGTGATTCTCGTGCCTCAGACTCCTGAGTAGCTGGGATTATATGCATGTGCCACAACACCCGGCTAATATTTTTCTGTAGAGATGGGGTTTCCCCATGTTGGTTTCTAACTTCTAACCTCTAGTCATCTGCCTGTCTTGGCCTCCCAGAGTGTGGGATTACAGGTATGAGCTGCACTGGGCCTGCTTTATTCTTGATGATATTGACTGGTTAGGTGTTGTGTCGAACATCCCTCAGGATTTGTCTCATGTTTTTATGGTAAAGTTTGTGCCGTTTTTACTATATACGGAGGATACATTATATCAGTATAACTTAACTGTTGATACTGATCACCTGGCTGATGCAGTGTTTGTCAGGTTTTCCACTGTAAAATTACTGTTTTTCCCTGTCCATACTGTACCCTTAGGAAGGAAGTCATCATTCATGCCCACAGTTAAAAGAGAGGGGGTAGGCTGGGTGCAGTGGCTTAAGCCTGTAATCCCAGCACTTTGGGAGGCTGAGGCAGGCGGATTACTTGAGGTCCAGAGTTCGAGAGCAGCCTGACCAACATGGTGAAACCCTGTCTCTTAAAAAAAAAAAAAAAAAAGAGTTGGGGAGTTAGCACCATCTCCTTGAAGGGGAACATCCACGTGAATTATTTGGAATTCTTCTGCAGATGAGATTGGTCCACTCCTTCATTTATTCAATAATTTATATATAAATACGGACTCCTGGGAATTTATTTTATGCCCAAGTTGTTCCAGCTTTGGTCGTTGGGAGCTCTTTAAGTTTTTTCTGGCTCATCAACTTTAGTAAACAATAACTTTGGAATCCTGGCCTTTGGGCCCGTAACTCCAAAATAATGTAGTGATGAAGTCTCTTTGGTGTGGCTTTGCCACTTTGTCAGGTCAAAACTTTTAGTCTGTGTTTTAACTATTGTAGATGGGTATGATTCAGACCTGTAGGCCAGTTCTATGGTACAGGCAGAGCACTGGACACATACGGGAGCTCCAGAAACTTGGGTCACCTTGGTGGATGGCAGCCTCTTTTCTAGCCTAAGAATATTCCCATAATTGCCGGGCGCGGTGGCTCAAGCCTGTAATCCCAGCACTTTGGGAGGCCGAGGCGGGTGGATCACGAGGTCGACAGATCAAGACCATCCTGGTCAACATGGTGAAACCCCGTCTCTACTAAAAATACAAAAAATTAGCTGGGCATGGTGGCGTGTGCCTGTAATCCCAGCTACTCAGGAGGCTGAGGCAGGAGAATTGCCTGAACCCAGGAGACGGAGGTTGCGGTGAGCCGAGATCGCGCCATTGCACTCCAGCCTGGGTAGCAAGAGCGAAACTCTGTCTCAAAAAAAAAAAAAAGAATATTCCCATAATTGATCAGAGGAAGGGAATGGTTTTTATCTGCCTTATACTTTATTTTTCTGTGAGTCCCAGCATAGGCCAGAACTCAGAAATAATGGAGTCCAGACTGTAGCACTCTTCCAGCCTCTCCTCCCTGGTTATTTCTTCACAGGCTATACCTGGTGCCTCCAACTGCAGCCAGGGATGAATGGGCCTGCCCAGGCCCGGAACCTGGAGAGGAAATTCTAATGTTATATAGAACCGGAGCAGTAACTTCCCAAGTGTTCCTCTTAGCCTCTCAAAATAGCTTATTTTGGGGAAATCTTAGCTGGATGTGCAGGTGGTAGTGGCCATAGCTGGAGTGTCAGTCTTCCAGCTGCTGCTTTTTTTTTTTTTTTTTTTTTTTTTTTTTTTTTGAGATGGAGTTTCACTCTCGCCCAGACTGGAGTGCAATGGCACAATCTCAGCTCACTGCAACCTCTGACTCCCAGGTTCAGGTGATTCTCTTGCCTCAGCTTCCTGAGTAGCTGGGATTACAGGTGACTGCCACGATGTCCGGCTAATTTTTTTTTTTTTTTTTTTTTTTAATAGAGATGAGGTTTCTCCAGGTTGGCCACGCTGGTCTCAAACTCAGGCAATCTGCTCACCTCGACCTCCCATAGTGCTGGGATTACAGGTGTGAGCCACTGCACTCAGCCTACTTTTTTCTTGAATGGTGACTCCCATACCTGGCTGCCTAGTCCAGCTAAGTCAGATGTTCCTCAGCACAGTTAGGAGTCTGCACCATTAATCAGCTCCCTAGGAAGCTTTTTGACCAGTTGGGCCACTGGCAGTGGCCTGACCTTGGGAATGGCTGTTGTTGGGTGACTTAGGCTCTTCTACCTTCTGACTTGAGTGAGCCCAGCAGCCATTCACAGACTGGGCTGGCAGGCAGAAGCACAGAACTTTGGTGTAAGGGAACTGGAGAAGAGTGGGAGGATGTCCCAGCTTCCCCAGGCAGCTGAGCTGGGGAAGTGTATAGCTGTGGGGAGCTCTAAAGTATCTACACCTTCTATTATGGTTCATGGACTTTTGTCCTGGACTCTTGTGGCAGTGTGGCCTCCGTTGGGAGTACCTTCTCATCAAACAAGTTCATCTTCTGATTCATACTTCAACTTCCCAAATAACCTACATGATAACCAACTCCTCAAATAACCTAGTCATTCTTCATGGCTTAGGTTGACCATTTGACATGCAGAAAGCATCATATAACCCTTTTAGCACACACCCACACACATCCCTGTTTGGACTGTCACAGCTCATACACTTGTTTGCCATTGTGAATTTTTAAATCTGCATTCTGTAGGAGTAAGGAGATCCCAGTTCATCTGGGGCCTAGCATTGGGTGCAGCCCAGAGGAGGCATCAGCTAGTATGGAGAACAATTCAGGCCAGTGAGGAGCAGCTCCAGAGTAGCAGCTACACGGGCTTGTCTTGGGAAAGCACAGGTTGTGACAAGTTAAAAAGGGGGAGCATTGGCCAGGCCTGGTGACTGACACCTGTAATTCCAGCTCTTTGGGAGGCCGAGGCAAGTGGATCACAAGGTGAAGAGATTGAGATCATCCTGGCCAACATGGAAACTCCGTCCTTACTAAAAATACAAAAACTAGCTTGGTGTGGTGGCATGCGCCTGTAGTCCCAGCTACTTGGGACGCTAAGGCAGGAGAATCGCTTGAACCCAGGAGGTGGAGGTTATAGTGAGTTGTGATCATGCCACTGCACTCCAGCCTGGCGACAGAGCAAGACTCTGCCTCAAGAAAAAAAAGGGCTGAGTGAGCATCTTGGCCCAGACATTGCCCAAAGATAAGTAGGATGTAGCCTTGGAAGGTACCTGGCTGATGTGATGTCTTCTGGTGAGGTTGTGTTACAGTGGGTAGAATCTGGGCATTGAGCTTGGCCCTGCTTATGGTAAAGAAGTTAGAGCCAGTCCTGCCTTCTTATAAGTTCAGATAAAGATTGCACAGGCTGCTGGGAGAGACCCAGGGGGCTCTGTCACCAGCTCAGGTCAGTCAGA